TAAATAATTTTCAGTTCATTTATTATTTTGCCATTCATCTAATATATATATATATATATATATATATATGTAGTTCTCCAGTAGTTACTTGTTTAAATAATGTTGGAGAAGAGTATTTTTCAAATATTTTATTAAGGCTCTGGATATCGTTGTCACAGATTGCTTGATTTGCTCGTGGGTTTTAAAATTTTATTTTCTGGAAGTTGCACTGGTTTATATCATATTATTAATTGGCAAGCAAGTTGGGCTGTGGTTGAGAGTTATTGTGGTTGATTACCCTTTACCCCTCATGTGAATTGACTTAATTTACCCTTAATGAAAAACTCCAATTATTTTTCTAAATTAATTTTAATCCAGCCGCTAAACCTAATAAATTATTTGGCTAAATCTATTGTAACTAATGAAAACCCTAATCCTTTAGAGTTTATATATTGCTTGCTACCATGTATTTTGTGTCTTATCGCATGTTAGTCATAATTTTTAGTTTGGTAGTTCTCTCAATAGTTTTATTTCTATATGTAATTGATCTTTGTTTTGTGAATGTAATTGTTATATATGTTTTTAGACGGTGAATTTGTCTATATTGTTATGCTTACAGAAAATCAAGGGTTGGTATTTTCAGACGGTATGTTTGTCTATTTTTATTTTTACTCGAGCTTCATAACTGTGTTCATGGTATCTATGTTATTTTTATTTTCTGTGACTTTTTATGATCTTTGTTTCGATTTAATAGTTTGGTGGAGCGACTGTTTCATTGTTTGGGATGAATCTGAGTTTTACAGAGATGTTCTTCCAACTAAGGTAATTTAAATAATCGTTCATGTTTTTCCTCTTAGCCAAACACACTTTTTTCCTTAGCCAACACGATTTACTGTAGCCGCAAAATAGTTTTTTCTTAGTTTTAATTTTGTTTGTGATCGGTCCTTTCTCAACAACAAGCTGTTCCACTATTTAGATCTATATGAGCTTCGGTTTCGTGATTCAGTGACGATGCAAGAGGCGACGATCTGCTTATTGATTTGATTCACTCTGGAGATTGTTGTTTGAGTATTAATTTGGTTATGAGGTTCGGTTTCGTTTGTTGTTTGTAGGGAATTGGTTCTACATCAGTATTTGGTGGAGTTTGTTATTGGCAAAGATCATCTTTGTCTATTCATGATTTTCAAAGATCAACAAAAACACTTTTGCTGACAAGATTCAACGTAGATAAATATTTCGAATTTAGGGCTTGTGCAACTAGCCATTTACTCTTGCCGTGTTTTGTGGTTTTCTGATTTTTAAGGCCTAAAAGAGGGATCTTGGGGAGGATGAAATCAAAAGAGTTTTGGTTTGATAAATTCCTAGGGATCTGATAGAGATACATATGGAGATTTGGTTTGGACTTTTGCTGTACTTTTTTTTAATTCTCTTTAGTTTGTTATTTGTTTTTTTTTGTCTTTCTTATTTTTTGTTTATGTTCAGTCTCTAATGTACGTGATGAATGTATATGGGGTTGTTTTTTTTACTCTCTTCATTGGTTGTTATAAATTTTTTTTGTTTTTTTAGCCCATGCAGACATTACATCCATATATAATTTTACATCAAAACTTCATGGTCTATACAATAAGTCTTAAGGAGGAAGATCTCACTTTAGCAATTGGTTTAGATTGTCTTGTGTGTTATTTTGACTCATTACAATAACGATGTGTATTTGTTGGTGAGATAGATGTATTTCTGGTGAAGGCATGAGAGCAATAGTGTCTGATGATGAAGATGATCAACTACATAGCAATGCTAATACTTTATGGAGGTTATATATGCTCAGGTTTGGTCCTCTGATTCCTACTAAGAGCGATACATTTTTGATGGAATGAGTTAGACAATTATTCAAACATGAATTCAAACAGGTAATAAAAAAAAAAATCAATAACCATTTATCCATGGCTTTAATCTTATATATATAAGCTTCAATACCTAAAACATATTTGAAGTCTTTACGTGTTTATATTGGATTCAGGATCAGCTTAATATTATTATGAACTCTAGGACAAATTTTCCTCATTATTATGAATTTTTAAAAAATTAACCAAGCCTCGCACAAAGTGCGAAGAAACAACACCTAGAGTTGTTGTTATTATATTTAGAGGTATTATTTCCAGAGTTAAATTCTGTTTTACACATTCACAATATTTTTATTGTGTTTTCTATGTTTTTTTTCATACACTAAACAAAATTTTTTTATAGCACTTGATTTGTTATGTGATTGCACAAGAGATGGGTGTAGCCAGTGGGAGAAGTAGGTGAGGACGTACGGGGCATGTGCCCCCATCTAATTCTTCATTTTTCTATAGTAGTTAATGTAAAATTCATCTAAATGTTTCTAATAAAAAAAAGTTATAGTCAAAAACATATATGTGTCCCCTACTAAATTGACTCCTAGATCCGCCACTGGGTGCAGCCAGATCATGGTAGGCTACATTAAATGAAAGACTAATTCTGACTAGAAAAAATATAGAACAAAATAAAACATCCAAAGAAGCTCGAATGAAACCTCTAGTCTAAAACATATTGGAAGAGTTAAATAAAAAATGTTCTATACAAAAGTAAAGAAAAAATGAAAAGAAAATAAAAAAATAAAAAACAATGGCACCAACGTAAAATGGTGCCGAATACTAGCCAGAGAAAAACTTAAGATGCGCCAGAATTCTGTCATAAAGCAAGATGAGATGAGAGAAATTTTCTTTCCTTAAAAGTTAGAGAGAGCGTAGTCGATGATTAATGTAACACCATCTAGACAAGAAGAAAAGTAATATAACTTAATGTTCAGAAAAAAGGAAACATAACTAAATAAATCTACAGCAAACAAAATTATCAAACTATTGTTTTTGTTATGAAACAAAGCTTTATTATCATTAGGATATTCATAGCATTTCATTTGTATATCCTTTGCTGTTCACTCTATTATTTTAATATTGCTTTGATTAATCATAGAATTACAAACATTGTGGTATTCTTATTTTTCATTGCTTATTTTTTTATTTTTACGAAAAAATAATCTAATTGTTTTTTTTATGAATGATCCCATATTTGTTAGGTTTAATTAACATGAAAGCAACAACATCCATTATGAAGAAGGTACATAAAGCAATGTTTTGTAGTTTTTTGTGTGTGTAAACATTTTCTTGTGACAGAATTGGAAGACGAATATGAAGATGAAGACAAAAAAGGAAGAAGAAAACGAGAAAGAGAGAGTGAAAGCATCTCTTTCAAAAATAAGATAGAGAAAGAGGGAATAGAGAGATGAAGTGCGAGAAAGATATAGTGAAGGAGCAAAGTGGGAGAGACAAAGAGGATTTCTTTCTGATATAAGAAAGAGAGAGAGAGAGAGGGAAAATGAGTCTTCTTAATAAATATGAATGAGAGAGAGAGATGATAGAGAGAGTGACAAAATCTCTTTCAAAAACAAGAATAAGAAAGAAAAAGGGGAGAGAAAACGAGGGAGATACAAAAGAATAGAGTATCTTCTTCAAAAAATAAGAACAAGCAAGAGATATAGAGAGAAGATTTACTTTGGAAACAATAAAGGGAGATATAGATAAATGGAGGTTACAAAGAGAGAGAGAAAGAGAAAGAGAAAGATCGAGAGATAGATAGAGTATATAGAAAGAGACATGGAGAACAAATATATGGAGAATAAAGAGATGGAGAGGGGGAGACAAAGGAAAGATAGATATATAGCTCTATTATTTATGACTTATGTTGCTTCAAGTCAGAGGACCATGTTCTTATGCGGATATTAAAACAGTCAATGATGTTGTTTATCCTACTTTCTATGGTGTATGTCATGTGTTTAGTTTGGTTGGTAATGATAAAGGGCATGTTGATGCTTTCCATGAAGCGAGTGGATGGTCTACGGTTTCTTTATTGCGAAAGATGTTTGCTACTTTAATCTATACTGGTTATATGTGTAATCATGTGTGTGTTTGAAGCTATGTCCGTCATGTTATTTTTCCCTGAGTCAGCGTGTTGTCATCACTTATCTTGTACTTTTTGGTTTTTTATAAAAATTGAAACATATTAGAAATTCTTACACTATTATATTTTCAAGCTATTGGTTTTGATTATTTAGTTATTTATAATTGAAAAAATGTTCCAAAATGGAAAAATAATATGAAACGCGTACTCCATTGAGAGAAAATTGTGAAAATAACTATTATTTTATGGTTTTTTTAAATATCAACTCTACCTTTTTAATTACTTTTACTTGTAGCCTAGTGGCAAATTAATGGCAGGCTGAATGCATACTACTGGCAGACTGATTGGTCTTACAATTGAATGTAGACTATTGGCATACTAAAAGCAAATTACTACCATTAATCTGTCATTAGGCTACGAGTAAAAGTTATTAGAAAAGTAGCGCTGATATTTTAAAAAAATCATATTCGAAATTTATGTTTAGAATTATTCTTGGTTTGGTTTAGACTATTGACAGACTAATGAAAAGGTTAATTATATGAGAGCAAAATATATTTTTTGCCAAAAGGCTCCTAATAATATTGAGCCGGCCCCGTTCTCGATGTCTTCTAAATCGATTATTTTCAGGAACAAAAACAGTATCAACAATCATTTTTGGTTCAATGCAGTTTTAGTTCATGACACTCACATACATAGTTTAATAATTGCATTTGTCCACACATTGTACGGATAGTCATCTAGTATATATATATATAGTGTTTTTTTTGCTAATCTTTATAATAATTTCTACCGAAGAATCAATCTGAGGCCCAATGGGCCTAAGTAAAATAAAACTCATTTAGCTCCCCCCGTGAGGCCCGATGGCTTCTTATCCATGGTTTTAATTAATACTACTAAAACTAGCTGTTCAACATTATTTAAACATTTTGATGAGAAGTTTAATTTATCCTAATAAATAATTTTCAGCTATTTTATTATTTTGCTATTAGATGAACCTCTGTTTTCTAAGGAGAGTCATTTTAGAGAACCTCTGTTTTCTAAGGTCAAAATAATCAAATAATCAAATAACTTTTTTTCAAAATAATCAAATAACTTTTTTTCCCCCGGTTTTACAGAACCTCTGTTTTCGAGGACACGTGGCATTTCCTTCGGCGTCTATCTGTCAAAGCACCGTGTGAGATCATGGCGACGCGTGTGCCCAGACGGCGTTTAAACCCTTCCGTCCAAAACCTCATCTCCCTTCTTCTCTATCGTCGTTCGTGGTTCCTTTAGCCGATCGTTTCGCCGAAGCTCAATAGATTGAATTAATATGGAAGGATCGAAGAGAAGTTCGCTGGGTGCGCGAAAGAAGGTCAAGAGGAAGAGCAGACGACTCGTCAGGAGTATTGTGACCTTCCTCAAATCCGACGCATACTTGTTCGCTCCTCTGTTTCCCAGTTCTCCACCGCCCCCGCCGCAGATTCAGACGCATCCTCCGTCTAATTTCGAGTCATCGAATTCGGAAGACTTATCTATGGCCGCAGGTAATGTGTGAGTAACTGAGTATGAGTCTTTTGTTGGGTTTTCGAAAATCGGCTGATTCAATGGTGTGGATTTTGCCAAATTGTGGGATGTTAGGGTTTGAGGCTTTAGGGATCGAGAGGGTTAATAAGAAGACCAAGAGAAGAACGTCGGAGAAAGTTAAGGAATATCTCAAATCTGATTATCATATGTACGGACCGATGATCTCACTTCCGAACCTTGGTTCTTCACTTAAAGGTGAGAGCTTTTTTAGCTGGTCTGATAATGAATAACAACCGTAGTGTTAATTTTGTATATAGTTAGGTGGATTTAACTAGTTTGAATCAGACTATCTTAGACTCTGCATTTGAAGCAGGGAAACTGCAAATCACAAACTTGGTTACGATGGAAGTATCAACGAGTACTACTAAAACCATGAGGGATGATGATAAAAACAGCTATAGGAATCTCAGGTCAGACATTGCAGAGAAGACATTGCATAACGGAAGGATCAATTCTCCGAAACGAGCAGTGGTTATCGTAGAAGGACAACGAAGCCGTGAAACAGATGTTTCACCAGCCTTTGCCTCTCCACCAGGTATTTTGATTGATTGCTCCAATCATGTTATGAAAAAAATATGGAACTTATTAATGATGCTTAAACATAGGGGTCAATCTTAGTAATAGTCTAATCCTCGACCAGTGACATGTCTAGTAGAAAAATGTCTTAAGGTCTGAACACAGAGCATCATGAGGCTTCCATACGCATAGGCAGGGTTAAGTAGGAGCTGTGTGTATGTATCTCTTCAAACTGCATAGATAAGACTGCTTGTAAAATTCATTGACTTGGTTTTAGTGTTTTACTTTTATGTTAAAACTGATGAGAGAGTGGTAAAATACTAAAACAGTAATTTCTTTGTAATGTGGCAGAGGGAAAGGTTGGTGAAGCCAGATCAAAGGAGAGTTACAATTGAGCGAAGATGATACTGTAGATATCGTAGACAACGTAATCATTGTAAAATACAAGTCAATTACATACAATAGTTGGAGGACTTATGAGAGAAAGAGAATAGGTTTTGTGTGATTGGAAAGTTTTTTTTTTTTTTTTTTTTTTGTTAGTTTTTCTTGTTGATAAGCTTTGTAGGAAGTGATGTATGAATGAGGATGACAAAGATGTGTGTCTGTCTGAACATATTGCCATGTTACCTGTCTGGTCTTTGATAAATTAGTTTAAATGTCAAGAAGAATGTAAAAATTGAGCAGTAGCTTGAAACAACCGTTTTGCTAACTCAAACTTTTGCTCATATTGATTAACTTTTGAGTGATCTTCCGGATCTAATTGGAACTTAGATTATGAAGAGAAATATTGGCTTGTAAAATGTAAAATAAGGAGTTGAAATCAAAACAGTATGATCCAAAACTAATTTGTGAAAATAGTGAAAAAGACTGAAGCTGGAGAGGAGGAGAAGAGGGAAGTGATAACATTACAAGTTACAAGTAGTAATCGTGTGCACGTGAGGTGCATTCAATTTCTGTGTCCCACATCGCAGACGCTTCCCATCTGTCAACTCCACACACGCATGCAAGAAAGCTCTATTACATGTATGCGTTGCGTGTGTATATACATTATTCATATTTCATTATTGCAATCCAAGTCAAAGTAACATCATCCTGTCAATGTTACAAAGTCCCTAGTCTAGTTACTAAATAATGTAAAGCTAGTAGGTAATGTATTTGGAATTTGAAATTATAGATATATATGGAAATATTAATACCAAAATTGGGATAAGTGAACCTAGGGAAAGAGGAGGTGTCCCCCTCTAATTTTTGTTTTTGTTTCACATTAGTAATTAAAGTTAAATCCATTTAAATACCTCCAAATCTTGTTAATATTTATTTAAAATTCATTTACATGCCTCATATTATTAATTAAATTTTCTGGAACCGCGCAACTGTGTCTAGGACAATCGTATTGGAGCATGCACATGAGTCCCCGAGAAAAACGGAGATTATTGTATTATTGGTGACTAGAGACATGGACGCGGACATAGCACACGTGTATGTACACTCGCAAGTCGCAAAATCGTAATCTCATATTATTATTTTTTGTAATTATTACTATATGAAATGTGAGAAAAAGAGCGAGGAAAACAACTCAGCAAAGAAAAAGACGTAATGTGTCTTTTAATATGCAAAAGAGACATGCATGCATGGGCTTCACTCACCATATATTCGTTACAGATACGGCCGTTTTTGTGTATATTCTCCTTATTAATATGTTATTCTTTTCATGCATCTGTCGACAGCGGCGAATTAAAAAAAAAAAAAAAAAATTAACCAAGAGCCATAGAGGCAAGGGTGCAGATCGGATGTAACTAAAGCCAATGTAGATCCACACCTTTCTATGTATCGACTAGTGTTTATCTAATTCACCAGGCCAGATTAGTTCAGATGTTCGAAACTCAGCGTTTCAACAGTGGAATCGATTTCTTCTCTCTTTCTTTTTTAGCTTAAGATATATGGATTTCATCGAGACGTCCCACTGATTCAAGAATGAACACTAAGCAAATCCCTTGATAAAACACTCATGCCGATATCTTAGTGAGCAAGTGGCTCACACGCAGTGTTTGCATGCAATAAAATACTATAATATATGTCTATAACGAGTTTATTAATTACTCCTTCCGTTTCATAAAGAGTGTCGTTTTAGTGTTTTATTTTTGTTTCACAAAAAGTGTCGTTTTGTATTTCTAATGTAAATTTTTAATTAAAAATCAATTTTAACCTTATTATTTTAATGTATTAATTAGAAAGAGAAAACTGTTTAATGTATTTATGAAAGACAAAAAGACTTTTTATTAAGTTTCTTAATACTCCCTCTGTTTCATAAAAAGTGTCATTCTGACATTTTTCACACAGATTAAGAAAAACTTATAATTGTCTGTTATATCCTTTATTTATACACTAAATCATTCTCTCTATAATTAATAAGTTCAAATAGTAAGGATAAAATTGACAATTAATTTTAAATTTTGCGTTGAAAATCTAAAGTGACACTTATTATGTAACATAAAAAGAATGTCAAAATGACATTCTTTATGAAACGGAGAGAGTATGTGTGAAAAGTGTCAAAATGACACTCTTTCTGAAACAGAAGGAATATGTATCTAGATCCAAAACTTATGCGTCACCGCATTCGGTTTATAAATGGCACTGATTAAACCTTGTTCAAAAAATTAAAAAGGCACTGATTACTATAGAGAGGCCCAACATTCTTGGTTCTAAGATGATAAGATCGATATTAATTGTACTTAGGTGTATATAGCTTCTTTGTACTTCATCTTAATAATTGTGATTAACCGATTTTTCAAATTGTTTACAACATAATGCGAATGATTGATGTAGAACTGGACTCCAGCCACTTGTACAAACCTATTCACGACCTGAAATACATGGTCGGTCTCCTTTCAGTTTCATATTTAGTCATAAATATCACTAGAGACTTCGAACATTTATATTTGAAGATTAAAAGAAGTCAAGTTTTGATTGGATATGGGAAAATCCATTAATTACATTATTCTTCAACGTTATCCACTAGTCGCTCTGACTAGTGTTCTACAGTCTCTACTATACGTACGATAGTAGTTTGAGGAGATATATTATACCCATACGACGTAGATTGTTGTTGAAATAGTTATCATCAATAATTTGAGAAATCTTTTTGTAAGTATTAGAATTATTTGTTGGTTGGCCTGTGGAGGCAAAGCTTAGAACGTGGACCGACTCATAGTCTTCCGAATTGATATCGACTTATGGATGGGTTTTGGTCAATACGGTTGCGTTCTTTGTCTTATATGCATGACCAATTAATTATCTATTAATTACTCCGTGTATTATTTGATCAACCGAGCAAACAACAACTGATACAATCAGCATTCACATGTTTTCAAGACACAACATCATGTAGCATCACTATTGTCTATTTAAATCTTTTAATGCTATATATAGTTTATAATTTATAATCTGGCGAGACCATTTCTTTTAGTTTTTTTGTGTGTGAAGAGTCGATCAAGCTAATGTCAAGGTTTTTCTGTAATTTTAAGATTATAACAAACAAACAAAATATTGCCATAAGAAAAACATGATTCCAATAGAATTTATACCCTTTCAACAAAAAAGCTTAACATGTACTTTAATTCACATGCATATTTGAATTTGTTTTTTTTTTTGTTTGAGAAAATGATTTTTTGAACTGAGATATGATCAGCCAATGCCCCCCTGTTAACCAATGTTTGATTTTTGTTGTGTTTTCATGAATATAATGGATTACTTCCTTCGCTTCAATATAGTTGTTTCACATTTTGCACACAAACTATGAAAACTAATTAGTTATACTCCTAGAAATATCTCTGACTTTAAAATTTTTCTTCTATCTCATCAATTTTGAGTCTTTGACTACGAATAAAATAGACATATGTGACAAAAGAAAACTTACATACTGTATAATGAAACGGGGTATTACACAGTAGATCTAATCGTGTAATTAAATATACACCATGATGAGTTTGTTTCAATCAATTATTTTAGTTATATTTTCCGTTTTACTATGTATTAACTCCAGAACTAATGTCTCTCACACGTGTGCATAAATAGACTAATCGTATATCAAGCGTGAGAGAGAGTTATTCATGTCTTCATCCAACTCGTCTATAAAAACACATCGTCGCTTGTTCTTTATAATCCGCATCTCTCTATCTATCACATACACACTCTCTCTCTCTAGATTTCGTTACGATATCGTACACGCATACGTAGAAGATCTATCGTGTGCAAAAGGATGAGGTGTAGAGCGCTTCACATTCGGAGAAGAAAGAGAGTAATTGTTAATGTGAGCTCAAGGAAGCTCATCAGCCGTCTCCGGCGGATGGTTGCTCCGGAAACGAGTTTTCCCGGTGAAGTTGACGGTAACACACTTTATCGTCTCACGGCTGATCACATATTCCTACTCCAAGCAAGAATCCAACTTCTTCGTCGTATCTCTTCTCTATGTGGTCTCTAGATCATTGAAAGGTCGATAACCATATATATATACTCGTGGCTTATAATAAACGGAGCAACTGTATAATTATGGAATAAACGTCTATAATTCTCTATATATATTCTTAATTAATCATATTGGTAAGTCTTAAATTGTGATGCCGACGCTATAATATGAGCGTATATATGTGATTATGTGAATTTATATTTGTGATGTATTTAACTGTGAGCAGTTCTTTTACATGCATGCAACTCTGATCGCGTTTAAATTATATCACCCATACATATGAACAATATCTTATATAATACGCTTACACAATTTTGTAATTAACATTGGGTATCCGGGTTATGTCAAAGCGTGAGACCATGGAGGTGAGCAAATCTCTGAAGTAAAGCGTTTCTTACAAATTAAACCCTCCACAATTGAAGTAATCGTGGCCTACGTACGTTTGCAACACGACTTCATAAGATTTAAGAAATAGTTAATTATGAGGTTTAGGGACTTGACCAAAGGGTAATCTGTGTATGACATATATGAATATACGCGGGCCAGTGAGTGAAAGCTTCGTGCATGCTAATTATCGCTTTCGGAAGGCAACAAAGCAGTGACAGGTTCAAAGATAAAACGATCAAAAATTGAATGGCACTCACCAACTTAATCTATAACCAATAATAGCTAATTATATATGAAATCAAATAATTAAGACTGCGACACTCAATGGTTTTAATTTAGCAAGATATGAGATTTTTGTTTAAAAAAATAGAATATGGGAGGATACTCCTTTACCAAAAAAAACAAAAAACAAAAAAAAATGTGAGAGATTCCAGCTATTAATTAATTATAGTGCACGAGTGTCGTATCCTATAATTCCTAAACCTGGTTCGAAATCTTCTCCTCATAATAAAATACTCCATATATTAGTATGTTATTTTAATAGTAAAGACAATATTTTTCAAAAGAATTGAAAATAATATCACCCACAAAGAAAATACAAACTCACCAAAATGCTGCTTTTGTTGTATGTGTTCAAAGTCAAAGACACATTTATGATTAACTTTCTTGCCACATGCCCGTACGCTTCGCGACTCATATATCAAAATTTATACCTCTAGCGGCTGCAATTGGTGTTTTAATTTGAGAGGAAAAAAACTAGAGTAGTAAAATAGTAAAAAAAAATTGTTACGGGATAACTAGATTAAAAGATTTTTAACTTCTATATGATGGTGGGATCTTCCCCTCTTGTTCTTGTGTCCATGGACGGGTTGGGGAAGAAGTATTTGTCCTCTCTATATATTTCAGCGGTCAGGTCACAACCAACATCTATTAACTTTTCCACATTTTAAATATCTTTATTTTTTATACTATTGCCTCTTTTCTTAAATATGAAAAGAGCCAGAGTGGCCCACACGGGCGTGGTCGAGTGGTAGGAGAGAATTGGGAGGGAAGTGTTAATTGCACCCCACCCGGGTTCGAACCCCATTCGAAACTACATCACACCCGTTGACCCGAGAAACCAATTAGGAAGAAAAGTCCTCGCGATCTGGCTCGGGCCAGAGTGGAGACATGGTATGTAAATATATACAAATTGGAGTTTATTTTTCGGTTCTAATTTGTTGAGTTTTTCATAACTAGTATATTAACTTTATTTTGCCTATATTCTCAAATTTATAATATTTTTCACGTAGTTCTATTAATTTGGACAGTTTATTTTACATTTTATTTCAAAGAATATGTTTACGTAGAGAGAGGAGGGAGCAGTACTGGACTGACTAATGAGAGGGAAGTAGGCTTTCAAAGAGCATTACGGGCCCATGCACGTGTCTACGTCCACCTGTTTGTTTTACGCTCCGTCGGCGAGTGTTACATAATTCTCAAATCATTATCCTTTATAAATTACCTGTTTTAAATAATTTACCATTTGTTGACAAGATTGTTTTTTTTACCATTCATCTACAAATCAGATAACATATCAATTAGCTACAGCATTGAGACTTAAATTCAATTTTTGTAACTATATATAAATGTTAGTAATGCTAGACCGTAAAACAACAAGTGGATAGTTGGATTGTTAAAAAGTAAAAGCAGAATTAAAATTGGATATTCATATTATCGATCCAAGAATTGAAGTCAACTCAATCGAATATAAATAGAAGTCCATCGAAGCCATGTGGAATTGCTTTTTTCCCCGGAGAGTAGGTCCACTGCATGGAAGTCTTGAGAGTTCACCACATTTCCCGGGATATATATATATATATATATATATAACTTTTTTTTTCGTATGCGAGCGTCCGTAAAAACATATGGGATTAATCAACTAGTGTTGAAGTCTTAACTCTTAAACTATTCAGTTTAAAGTTTTTTTTTATTTTTGTAACTAGATATATTCAGTTTAAAGTTATAAAGATATACTGTTATATCGATGATATTCGTCAAGTCATCAACACTTTTGTTCACTTTCCTAAGCACTGGTGAGAATTTATCAAATCATACAACTTTGAAAGTCCATATGCTACCAAATGTAACTACCGTTTTATGGGTTTATGAATAGAGTATACACATAAGATATGGAAAATGGTTTTAAGTCTAAAAAAGGACCAAAATAATTGAAGCTTAAATGATGATGAGTATAAATGGTATTTAGGGTTGGAGAGAGATCGTGGGGTACGTTGAGCCATGTGCGTCCATGTGCTCTGTCTTTCTCTCTTAGCCCCACTCTTTATTTCTACTTCTTTTCCTTTGATCCAATAAATGCCTCCACACTCTCATTTCCTCTATTAATTCTCCTCTTCATCAATCTAATCTCTCTCCTTCTTTCTCTCATCTCTTTCTAGTTAGCTAGGGTTTAAGCAGAAACAAGCATAAGGTACGTATTTATTGATTACATTCACTTTTTTTATTGTCATCTCCTTCTTAGACTACCGTTCATAATCAAAAACAAAGGGGAACTTACGACGAAGCTAGGTGCAACTACATATAGCACTGAGTATTAATAGTATGCTAATGTTTATTTTCAGTTCATGTTATTTCCTTTTTTTATTATAGGTATAATTCATTTGCGTTTATTTGAGTAGGATGAACACGTATAACATGGTGAAGCAAGAATTTATCAAGAAATGGATAACTACTCTCCACATGTTAGATTCTTCTGTTGATCATCCTACGAACGTAACTGAGAGGAAAAACGCAATAAAACTATCATCGGACTTAGCTATCGCAGCCGCTAGAAGCGGCGCAACCGTATGGAGCCGCGCTATCATCTCTAGGACCGGAAATAAGACAACCAACAAACCTGTGGCTCGCCGAATACTCAAGAAAGCTCGAAATCGGATGAAGAATCGTTGTACTACTGTTAGAAGAAATGGTAGCTTGAAGGCGAAAATCAGAATGAGAAAACGTACGGAGTTGCTGAAGAGTCTAGTACCGGGAGGAGAGTCAATAAACAACAAAGATTATCTGATAAGAGAGACACTTGATTACATTGTTTATCTCCGAGCGCAAGTGGACGTTATGCGATCTGTCGCAGCCGTCGATTTAGTCATTGGAGACTTACAGAACGTGCCTAGGAACAAATAAATGTCCATGCATTTCAAACTCTTGTGAATATTAAGTTGCTAATGATGAAGATGTAGGTCCATGTACATATATAGGATAACACTATCTTTTAAGTTTCGATATAACAAAACTTCGAAATGAAGCACTACTTTGAATTTTTTTGATGATTTAATCTCAAAAATATATTGAAGGCCACTGGAATAGTGTAGTAGCATTTTATCATCTTGCTATATGTGGTATCACATGCACGGATATGTTAGTATATGTACGTAATACAATTAGAAATACGGAACGATGAATTTGTTGAACGATGAATTTGTTTTTGGTCTAAAAAAAAGTGTAACTATGTAATTCATACATTATAAGTCCAGAGATTAATATAGTTACGTTTCCATATCACTTTTCTTTTTTGGAACTGTAATTGATCCTTTGGGGGATCCCTAATGACCCTAACCATCAATAAGTTCACCACGTTCAATCTATAAAAACTAGAATTCAATTAACATGCTGTTATTTGTGCATGCCTACAGAGTACAAACCAAGGGACACTCTCAAGTAAACAGTTTCTAATTTCTACGGGGCGTAAGCGTGCAAAGGTTTGTTTTATCTAGCCAGTCGTAGGCAAATCGGCAAAAACACTTTCTTCAGTAATTGGGCTTATAACGGGCCTAAATATTGAGCCCAGGAGATTGAGACGTTAGTATATAATTCATTGGTATTAGTATTGAGATTTGGAGTAGTGATGTTTTAGTGTTGGAAGAAAATTCAGTTTAAGTTGGCACAAGCCACAAGTGTGCTCGAGTGGTTTCGGATCGGCCAGTTAGATTCATTGACTGTAAATAAATTGCTAGAAAATAAATCGGCGACATCTTCATATGCTCAATTTGTACTAATTATTGTTTAATAACCTGTTAATAGGCTTTTTCAAAACTGATTTGTAAACTATATGTTCTCTTTCTGTCGGTACACAGTATACAAAATTTTTGGCAGTTGGCATTTAAAGTAAGTGTCACATGGTCAAATGATCACATCTTTAATGAAAACACCTTTGATTTAATAAACACACGATTTTGATTGTAAACTAATAAATCTTTACTGAAAAAATGATTAATTAGTTTAATGATTAAAAAGTAGAAGAATTATTTTTATCACATCGACCATAAATTGTCTTTTTCCCTGTTTGTTAAAAGCTAAGAGCCTAAAGACTCATTGCATGCTTGTGTATGATTAATGCCTCTTATCTATCTACACAATGTCGTTTTCCTTATTAATAAGTATATTTGCACTCTTTGATCTATGATCCATCATTTCCCTTTTTTTTCTTTTCATCGAGGAACTTTCACTATCCTTTGGTCTTTGGACGTGTAATCGTTGCCGACTCTATAGTCACATATACCGAAGAACTCAACGTTTATCCCGAGCAGAAACCAAACTAACGATCCTAGCATCATGTCGAGTTTAACGAGTCTAAATCACTTACCTTTCAGTAGACGAACTTTTTTTTTCTACAATTGTATACTAATTATAGCCTCGTTTTTACGTTTTCCAAAACATGTTAATATCGTTACAGACTAGTTTTTCTTTTTCTTTTCAATATCTACATCACATATCAGAATTCTGGTATATAAATCCAGCTATAGATCACTTATGAATGAGTGACAAGTGGCAAAGAGGTCTAGATATTATATAAAAATACATGTTGTTGTTGTTGTGTGCTTAGCTTGAACCTATGGTTTCAATTTAAAGACATATGAAAAAGAGATGCAAGAGGGTCCAATCCATTGTTGTCAATAATTTTGCTTCCATAATAGTTAACAAGTTAGCATCTATTTATGTATATATGCATTTCCTCCCAGATAAATTCAATTAGTTATTATGGTTAACTTCAATTCATACCACGTCAAGTCGTTTCCTACTCTTTTCCAGCAACAACACAATATTTTCAAGTAAGCATCGTAATATTGGTGTAGCCTCATCTTCTCATATTTTTGTGTGTGGGCATACTCATTTTGAATCTGAACCAAAGCAACTGTATCCAAGTACCTACCAATCAAAACCAAATTTATTACTAATGATAAAACGAAATTATTACAGATACCTAATTCCCATTTTGACAGAAAGATGAGACTAACCCCTCCATATCCTTTTTTGATATAAAAAGAAAATCTGTTCCAACGATAATCACTTTGATCATGGCCCAAATCATTCCCACCCATGGAAATGATGCACCCCATCAAACCTTTTTTATTTATTTAAAGTAAGGTAGAACCCACATCAGATATTATTAAACTAATTAATCATTTCCTTATTTCATACCAATAACATAAATATTTGATCAATCAACAAATTCTCATAGTCACAATCTTTGAACCAAAAGAAGCTATGGAGCTATCACTAGCATTAACATCAACGGATCATCGTCAGTTGAACAATAATCCATCGCCTTCAGAGGCACATCCAGACACTATGGACTTTCTGTCACGAGAATGGTGTAATTTTGCTGTCCAATCGCTTCATCCGGACCCTATCCTCTGTGACCGTTCCATTGTTCCCGTTGAGACGTCGATCGCCAAGTTTCAAGGCGACTCCAGCCCTGTTTCTTGTGCTGTAAGTAACAGATGTGCTTTTGTTCGTAAGTCATTCTTTCTTCAAGTTGTTTTGGTTAGTGTTTAATTAATGAAGATTGTGGAAGTAGAAGATGGACGATCCAGATTTTAAGCCTTCCATGCCTTCGTGGAAAACCAATGATGTCAAGGTAAACCTATTACGTTGAATTAGTATTTTTTTTCTAGAAAATTCACGATAATATTGAGAAAATTGTACCTTTTTAATCGTATAGTTATTGTTTTATATGAGAATATAAGTATACTAATTAACATACTACTTTTAAAATGATTTGAATATATATAGACGTTCGTATTTTTCACCAAAATATGTATATATAATATGTAATTTTTAAAAAAAAATTCTAACACGTAATTCATTTTGGTTGGGTTGTAATTGTTGTTTTAGGTTTATTTGATGAATACTTGGTTTATGTTTTGATCGAGATATATTACCATCGATTATTGGAATCATATAAAAACTGAAAACATTTACATGAAAGTATAACATATCGATTAACAGAACAGAACTGAAAAGATGTTCACAATATATTTTGTTGAATAATGTGAACAGTCATGGATATGGATGCAACAAGCAATGCACCCGGAATTGAGCTACGAAGGCTTTTTCCGCAAGAAACTTGTAAAACCCTTTTTTGGCTATTTTGTTTAATTTGCTTTTATGAATCGCCATTATTGGTTCTCTAAATCAAAACAATAATGGGCTTGTAGAAACTTCCATGGAAGATTACGCCATCGATAAAGAAATGGTGGAAAGAGATAAAGGCGAAACGAAAGGAAGAAGTGAGGCTACAGAGAGCTGAAGTCCATGCCGCCGTGTCCTTGGCCGGTCTGGCCGCTGCTCTCGCCGCCGTAGCTTCCGATAACGCGGGAAAAGGCGGAGGAAAAGGTCGACCAACCACAAAGGAGACAGCGGTGGCTTCTGCGGCAGCTGTGGTGGCGGCGCAGTGTGCACAGATGGCAGAGACAATGGGAGCAAACAGAGATCAGCTCAGCACAATGATTGGCTCCGCCATGAATGGTACAAGTGTCAGTGAGATACTCACTCTCACAGCCTCGGCTACAACTTGTAAGAGAAGAAGGTTTAAAGTTTTGTTTTTGGTTTGTGTTTCTATAAGCATGCTCTGTTTCTGAGACATTGGTGCTTTTGTAAATAAGCATTGAGAGGTGCTGCGACGCTGAAAGCAAGAAGAAGTTGCAAGATCAATAGATTGAACGGATCTGCACCTGTTTTGCCTATCGAAGACTCCTCTGATTTGCCTCCTGAATTTGACAAGAACACATCACTTCTTGCTAAAGGAACATATCTCTTCGTCGAGACACCAGATGGTATATAAATCCTTTGTTTTTCTTCTTCAATTCCTCTGTTCCGTGGAGAAACTAAAAAAGATATGGGTATGTTTGGATTGAAACAGGGGATTTCAAGGCTAGGACAGTGTCTATGGTCTTAAACAATGACGGGAAGGTCTGAATTTCGCTCTAATCCTTCATTATCCTTAATCAATCATGTTTATTAGTTGATGATCTTGGGTTTGTTTTAAACAGGTAATTCTTAAAATCAAGAAACATAACCTACTCAGGACTAAAAAAGAATGTATGGAGCTAGCTTCTTAATCCCTTTTGTTTTAACTAAAATTAATCTTCAAGCTAAGATTTTAAATCATACATTGTTATGTTTGTGATCTGTGTAAGGTATGGTGACGAATGTTCATGTGGAACTTTATAAAGATTCGGAGAGCGAAGAAAACAACATTCAAGACACTTGTTATCTCATTGTCCTGAAGACCAGCAGAGGATCTATTAAACTAGACATGGCTGATGATTACAATCGTTACAAGACATGGGTCACAACGATCCAACACATGCTCACTCTCTCTTCTTCTTCTTCTTCCTTCCGTACAAAATACGATCTCACTTTCTACAAGAAAAACTAAACTTTTTTCTTCGTATTTTGCTCTTCAATTTCTCTATGTAATTTACTTTACATTCCATTTTTATTTGATCTCCTCCTCTGTTTCTTACGGTTCTCTCGCTTGTTTTTTTTTTTTTTTTTTTTATAATACTGTATGATGCATAACAACTAGAGAGAACTTACGTTCTTTTAGACACCACATACATCAGCTAGCTTTCTAAGAAAAGTAACCTGGGATTTGAGAAGCATGAGATGCTGAATTGACTTGAGGAACAAGGCTTCCTCGTCGTCCACCTCTTCACAACCTGGTACAATCCTACGAAGAATTCCAAGGTTTCTTCGCATACAAGTTTCGCGTAATTTTGGTTTTTCCTTTCGTCCCTTGCAATCTCGGTGCTTGACCTTCTTGCACTTCACCATCTTCCTCATTTCTTTGCACTCCGTACTTAGATCCAAAGCCATATATATATATAGAAAGGCAAAGATATGGAACAAAACAAGTTGTCTGAAACATGTTTTGACAGAGAAAAGCAGACAAGGAACCCATATCAAGGCCATAACCACTGAACCTGTCTCTGCCAATCCACCCTTGCAATGTTTAATGTTCAATGTATCTTTTTGTGGTCCTCTATGTCTTGCAATGTAATGCCATTATTGTTGTTTAAATTCCAGAATGGTTCGTTTGGTTTGATTTAACCAACACACATTGAAAAAGAAATTGGGCCGACTGGTTACGAGAATACAAGCTTCACGTTGACCCAATTAGGCCCATCACTTGAGATATTTCAAAATCCAAAGTAAAACACTTAATCAGATTAATTGATCGATTTTCTTTGGCAATACTAGAATTCAATGCCATAACCTCACTCCGGCTGATTCAAACTCATGAGCAGGCACATGGCTAGTATCATCAGCAGCAGCATTGATAGAGACTGTACCGTGATAACCAGCATTCACAAGTAAATAACTTCGTCACTCGTCTATCAAAACACATACCTCTCATATTCACTTTCGTCAGCTTCTTCTAGTTTCTTGCAGTACACAAGTTATGGAAGAAGAAGGGTCAAGTGCAAAATGTAAAGGGAAGACAATCTTTTATGGTTTGGCCTTAACATGTAAGCATTTCGTATCTTCTTAACATGTAAATATATGTTCAAAGATACTACATTTAGCCTATGATCAAATGGCGAAAATTCAAATCTCAAGCAGCAATTGCAAGTATGAGAGTGAAAGGAACTTGACGAGAATTAGCTTCGTCGTTAACCTATAGACTTTTTGCTCGTTTCTGCGTCCTTGTTTCTCCACGGATTAAGAGCTTCCCTCGTAGCTTGAGCTTCAGGAGAATCTTCATATGCTCGTTTCTCTGCTTCGAGTACAGTAACCTTGTCATCTGCAAGTTTTAGTAACAAAACTAGTTTCATCAAAGCTTTCATATGGAAGAAAAATTACCCAATACCAAGTAAAATCTAGAAACTGAACATGAAAGGATTACAAACTCCACAAGAAAGTAAGAAACTTTAACCTCACTAAGCATTCTTATAAGATAAAGATATCAGAACCAAAAAAGTTTCAACATTTCTATACTAGATTATCCAAAACCAATGACATTAAACAGTTTACTAAAACCATGTCAAAACCCCCTAATTTCCGATCTACTTGAACCAACCAGTGATTTATCCAACAAAGAATTCGCAGCTTTAATCGATGGAAAAACATAACATTTCAACCGAGAAAGAATGAAAATTTACACAAACCAGTCTTGATCATGAAGTATTCCATGCCTCCACCAATAATAGCCGATCCAATCGCGATCTTCAAATACCAATCTAGAAATTTCGGCATTTGCATCTTCCCAGAAAACTCACAGATTCAAAATCTCCAGTAGAATAAAAGAGATACAAAATTTCTCAGATAATTTTCCGATAAAGCAAAGCTTCGAAGGGATTTAACAACACTGTCGTTGTAATTTGCTCTGTCGGAGAAGAAACAGTGTTACAATACCAAAACGTTGTCGTATCCTCGGTTCGGTTTGACAGTCGTTCAAAAGCAAACCGAACATTTAATTTAAAGTGGCGGTTAAGTAGAACACATGGCAGTTTGCAATGGATGGATCTATATAATATACGATGTGGCCTTGCACACACTAGTAATCTCTCTACTAGTGGTTACTTGAATAAGCAGCCTTGGGTTTTCTGAGTACAGTGAAAGGGTTCTCTAGGGTTTGCGAAAGCATGGATCGTATCAATAATCTACCAACAGAGATTATTTATCACATCGGATCATTTCTTTCGGCGGAAAAGGCTGCATTGACGACAGTTTTTCAAAGAGATGGCAACATCTGTTTACAGTCATACAAAATCTTCATTTTGATGGATCGGTTGAAGAAACCCCCTGGCCAAGTAAACAAATTAAAATGTTCTAAAGCCAAATTTGAAACTGAAAGCAAGTGCAGATCAAAAAGATACCTTCGAAATTCTAAAAAAATCATCATGCATCAAGAAATTTGTTTATTCTCAAAGCAAACCACACACTAGTTTGGAAAGGAAGAAAAATGTGAAACGTTGTGTTGCCTCAAAACAGACCATAACATGTTGCTTCTCGTAAAAGAATGGCTATTAATATTCATAGTCGACTGAAAATTATCATCCTCCGCACACGAGGAGGCATTTATTCCCGAAGAACCCCTGATCTCATCAATACTTGGTATCCAAGTTTTCGATGTTGAAATACTTTCCCTTTGATGATGACTTGCCTCTCTGATAAATACCGACTTAAACGAACCTTGAGACAAAAAATGTTGTTTCTTTTTCGTTGCTACATGCAAGAGAGTGTCTTCAGCCATCACATTTTCAGTATACCCCATTGAAAAGCATCTTCTGAATCTTATGCCAACATTTTTGTTGTCCTCTGTTTTAATTTATCGAATAAATGTTGTAAGAAACTATACTTAGTTACTTTTTTCTTGAAAAAATTATTGAATTCTAGGTTCGAGATTCATGATTACCTTCAATGATGTTGAACTTACCAAGATTAACAAGAACATCTCTTTCCTCATTCTCTGGCTTGCTTTCATCGTTTTCACCGGAGATGTTCAACCGCACATCATCGAAATGGGTTGACCCGAGATGCGAATCGGAGTCTTGGAAACTCTCAAGCTGAAGAACAAGAGGCGGGGAGGACGGAGCGGTGAGGCTGAGGAGGAGGTTATCTCTGCAGAGAGGACATGTTGAGTTTGCGAGGAGCCACTTGTCGATGCAGTCCACGTGGAATGCATGGCTGCATTTGGGCAAAATCCGGACCTCGTCTTCGGGTTTGAACTCGCAGAGACAGACGGCGCAATCAAAGGGGACGTCGTGTCGATGACCAATCACGGTCTTGTAATGAAACAAAGGCAATGCATCGATAAAGGATTGGTCAACTCCTGAGTCATGGGGATTAAAAATTGTCTGAAGCTGACCTTGCAGAGCCGTTGCATTCGCACTCTCTGTAATGCCAAGAAAAGAGAGAAAAAATAAACATTTTGGAATCAATTCTGAGACTAGAGGAAAAGACCTAAAAATCAAATTAATAAATGTGTGACCAGAAAACCTTCATAGGCGTCGTTTAGTCTGATTCGGAGTCTAAGTAAGTATCTGACGAGAAGATGAAGCAAAGCAGAGACAAATAAAACTATAGAAATGAGAGTGATAGCAAATATTACGGTGGGACTGATATTGTTGTTCAGATCAAAGCTGTCGTCTGTTGAAGAGTTAGATGGAGATGGGTTTGATGAAACAGAAGGAATGGAATCAGCTCTCGGATTCATAGTTTTCTCGGTAAAGATTCAGGTGGAGGGAGATGAGAAACAAATAAGTCAAAAGAGATAAAGTTAATTTGGGATGTAAACAGTTGCAAAAAAAAAAAAAAAAAATCCAAGAGAGCATGAGCTATTGGAGTTGACATTGAGATATCTTAACAGTTAACCAAAAAGACAAAAATAACGTTTTCATGCATATTCAGTTGGGTTTTTATATGTCTTGGCGTTTAGAGACTGCCAAGTCAAATGAGAAAATTAGAAAAGACAGGAAGAGGGTTTGACTTTTGAGAGGACTTTTTTTTTCATAGATATATTTAGAGAAGCTTGGATTATGATGTAACAATTCAGAAAATCTTATTTTTAATTTGTCTTACGTATGTATACTTGATGCCATTATTTTTCTATGTTTAATTTTCTAGAGTAGCAATTAGAGAGCGCTAATGTTTGTTACAATTTGAATGGAAACCTATAGTCAGGTATTGTTCTTATGGTCAATAATTCCACATATATACATCAATTCAATCTTTAGAGCAGAGATTTTGGTGGAATTCTTAAGTAAAAAAGAAAATAAATAAAAATGACGTGACATCAACTTTTTAAAAAATCGGTTTTTCTATAAAAACTTTAAAAACCAGTTCTTCAAATTTTGTCTCTGATTTAATGATAAAATATGTGTAAGAAGTTCTTACTAAGAACCCCAACATGGAGTTAACCATTACTGATACTCTTACAATTGTCAGCCAGAACAAATTTATGCAATATAATATCCTTCATAGCAAATTTTGGCAATCGCAAAGCCCTTCAAGCATGCATGCAAGTAAGAGATGGGAGAAACAAAAATGAAAAAACCAAGCAATAGCCTATAGGCTAATGCGAGACGCCGAGAACCGACAGCCAAGAAGAAAAAAAGTTCATAAACAAGATTTATGAGTTGACCGGATTCGATTCAAATAGCCGAATAAACCTGGTCTAGTTGTTAGAATCGAGATTTAGCAAACGATGTGAGAGATCCAAGGGCTGAAAAAAGATCTGAACCAGTCAGTCTTTATGTGTATAATTAAAAACTAAATCCACCCTATAGTCTATATTAGACTCTTTAATTTTCAAGGGAAAATATCAAAACGGAAAGTTTCTATTACGATCAAGTCTATTATGGTCCATTTGTCCTATAACAAGAAAAAAAATATAATTTGCATTAAAAAAAAGAACAAAATGTATAACTTGAGGAAACTAAAAGATTCGGGAGAGTGGAGTTATAGAGGGAGGGATCATTCATTTACACACACCCACACGGCCACACATACTGTACAAGAGATTTTGAGAAGAAACCAACTCATTACTGGCTGGAGTTTTTGATGACTTGGAGAATTTGAAGTCATTAATGATACGTTTGCTATGCAAATGGAATTATACCCATAACGTGACACGACCCACATGCTCATCCACATTTCATTATTATACATTTCTTCATTAAGCTCTCATTATTACACAAATGGAATTATACCCACAACGCGACTAACTTATCTTTTTTTAATTTATTCATTTTCTTTAAATTTCAAATCACTGGTTATGTAAATTTTAGTTTTCATGATAATTTGTGTGATTCTTTTCTGTTGTTGTAACTTTTTTAGTTACTTGCTCTAGTTTCTCTTATTTATATGAGAAAGACAAAAAAAATGGAAAACGAGAGAATGTTTTTTCATTGTGGGAGATTCTTATAATTTATGAGATTTTTGGTTAAAAGTTTAAAACCAAACGCGCGAATTCCGGCGATTGGTTTGTCGGTATGGAAGAAACCTCTGGCCACAACGTTCTCCGCTTTCGTTTTGTCTTTTTCTTTTCTTTTCATTTTTGTGAACATTATTATACAAAGTCAATTAATTACGGTCTCAAATATACTATATACCTTATAAAGATCGATTCTTTTCCTTTTTTTGGTTTGAGTTAATTAGATAAGTAGTAATCGCCAATTTGTTGTTGTTTTTTAATCTTCGTCTGGAACACACCATTTTCAGAGAAGTTTTCCTCTTAAAAGTTTTGAGCTTTTTATTTTTTTTTTAGGTGTAAAAATTCTTAAAATCCCTTCTTTCCTGATGATGATGATGATGAGGATGATCTGTGCATGAGAGAATTAAAGAAGAACAAACCAAAAAATAAAGTGCAAAACTTTATTGGAATTCCAATAAAATTTTCAATCATTCGAATTAAATTCAATCCCAGCAGAGAGAAGATTTCATCCAATTCGGTATTCTACAACCCTGATTCTTTCGAGCTGATTTTCGAATGGTGGGTATCTCTCAAAATTCTCAACGATCATTTGCTGCGATTGGGGAATCCAAAATAGAGATTCTTGGTGTTTTGAAATTGTGATGATCGGTTAGTAGGGCTCATCTCGATTTCGCTGAGAAATCCGATCAAAATTTCAGTTTTGTATCGTAAGACGATGAGGTTCCTGAGCCTCGTCGGTAACTCATTCGGCTGTTCCGCGTCCGGCGAGCGCTTAGTATCAGCGGCCAGAGACGGCGACTTACAGGAAGCCAAGGCTCTCTTAGATTACAACCCAAGACTCGCTCGCTACTCCACTTTCGGCGTTCGTAACTCTCCTCTCCATTACTCCGCCGCTCAAGGCCACCACGAGGTAAACCCACAAAATATTCAACCCCCAATCATCGGAATCTAACAATTTTGTAGGATCTCTCATTAGATTCCCCCCAAAAAAGTTCCGACCTTTATCCTGATTTTGGGTTTGTTTATCTTCTTCAGATAGTTTCTCTGTTGGTGGAATCAGGAGTTGATATTAATCTCCGGAACTACCGTGGACAGGTCATAGCTCTTGAAAATTTGCAGTCTTTTTGTTCTTTTACATCACATTTTTAAGTAATCTGAACATAAGAATTCTTGGTAACAGACGGCTTTGATGCAAGCTTGTCAACATGGTCATTGGGAGGTTGTTTTGATTCTAATTCTTTTTGGTGCTAATGTAAGTATATTGATCATCAACCTCAAAAATGTGATTCTTCTGAGAGATTGTGTGATCATGAAAAGGCCGTAATGATTGTTTTACTTTTTTTCTTGAAGATTCACAGATCAGATTACCTAAACGGTGGTACTGCGCTACACCTGGCGGCTCTAAATGGTCACCCTCGGTGTATCAGGATCTTGCTTTCCGAGTACATACCAAGTGTCCCCAATTGCTGGAGCCTGTTGAAGAACAATAAATCCTCAGTTGCTGGATTTGATCCAAGGTTCAATATAGTGGGTTTTGTTTTTGAAGAGTTGAGATTTTTGTTAATAGCTTCAGTGACATGATTAGTTAAAAAAAAACATTGAATGTGTGCAGTGTTCTTCACGAAGTGATAAACAGAGCAGCAGATGGAGGAATCACACCACTTCATGTAGCGGCTCTTAACGGACACATAGAGACGGTGCAGCTACTCTTGGATTTGGGAGCTTCGGTCACTCAGGTCACTGTGGAAGATGGAACCACAATAGATCTTATAGGTTATTATCAGTATCCTCTTGACTGATTAACATTCCTTTTTAAAAGGGAAAAGCTTGACTCTGTAGTTTGTTTTTCGCTTTGGCTCTTTGGTTTTATCTTAAAGGTGCTGGGAGTACACCTCTCCATTATGCTTCATGTGGCGGAAACACGCAGTGTTGTCAGGTATATATATATTTAGATGATGAACAATCCAAACCAGTTATGTTTCGTTTAAAGTTCATATATGAATTCATTTGGCGTTTGTTTGTTTTTCTCAGCTTTTGATCGATAAGGGTGCCTCTTTAGCTGCCATAAACTCAAACGGGTTAGATCTCCTCTCTCTTTCTCTGCCTACAAAAATCCAATCCAACAGTTTGATATAAACCGCTGTGTCTTTATTCGTTTGGTGTCTTTGGTTTCAGATGGACACCGTTGATGGTTGCTCGCTCGTGGCACCGGAACTGGCTGGAAGAAATCTTAAACCCAATCACAGCGCAGCAGCCACAGAGCCATCCGCCAAAAGTCCCTTCTCCATTCCTCTGCCTTCCTCTAATGAGCATTGTCAAGATTGCTCAGTATGTAAACCTTTTTTACCAGATTGAAACGCCCAATTACAATCCAAGAGTCCATGAGGTTGATTGATCTGTTTCCGTTTGTGGATTTCAGAGAATGCGGCTGGCGAGGAAACGATTGCCTCACTCCATGTCGTGACCCTTGTGCTGTTTGTTTGGAAAGAAAATGCACCGTAGCCGCAGATGGTAATGTATATCGATTTGAAATCCAATCTACTTAATTAGAACATATTGAATTGATTGTGTGCGTGTGTGTGTGTGTGACATTACAGGATGTGGTCATGAGTTCTGCACAAACTGTGCATTGTACCTAAGCACCACAATCATAACATCGTCAAAGACATCACAGTCCACACCAGGCTCAGTCCCATGTCCTCTTTGTCGCTACGGCATTGTCTCTTTCACCAAACTTCCCCATACAACAGCAACAGCAACAGCAACGTCATCAAGAACAGGCATCTCCTTGTCCTTCTGCACTTGTTCCTCTGATGTCTTGGACACAGCTCTCCTCACCAACCCTCACTACAGTTGTAAACCGGTTGCTTCAAGAACCGGTTCTCGGATTTCACAGTCCGTTGGATCATCATCGTTTCGGTCTCTTAGCTGCCATCGGTTTCCTCAAAGTCTTTGCCTCCGTGGCACGGATGTTGAAGTACCGCAAAGCCGGTTAATGAATGGATCATATTCAAGATCCAGTTTAGGGTTCAGGCGATCGACGTCACAGGTTGAAGGAAAACGTTCTTGGTTTTCTTCACTTAACCATTGTGTTACAACCGGTGGAAGTGCTTGCTAACACAGACGCAAACGCAATCGCCGTTTTCTTTTTTTCCTTCAAAAAAATTTTTGTTCCCATTTTTTTGGGAGAAGAAGTGCTAATTGGCTCTGTGAATGGTGTGGTGATTATTCATTTTGTAATAATTGAAAAATGTTGTAATAAATACTATAATTAATTTGGCTTGCCGATTACATTGGTTTGTATATTATATACTCCTTTGTGTGTGGTGTACATCTTGTCAAGCTCATGAACATTAACGTCGCTAGTGGTAAACTTTAGGATATATATATATATAAACTATGAGCGCAGGATGACAATTGATAATGTTGAAAAAAAAATTAAAAAAATTGACAGTTGAGCTATACCCAAAAATGAAAGGATAACAATTGATAAATTATGGAATTATTACAAATTTACATAAAGCTCAGGAGGAATAGATAGAACAAAAAACATACAAAAGAAAATGCAAAATGAAACAAAAGATTAAAGTAAACAAAAAAGCAATAGAAAACTAATAAGCCTTGCAAGGTCAAGAAAAAAGCATCTAAAAATGCAAAAACTAATGAAAAATCTTCTATTAATGATTTAGTAGAAATAAAATTAATTTTTTATTTAAAAAAAAAACAAAAAAAGCTCAGCAAGGATAATGCCAATGGAACACTAATATCCAAAGAATCTTCTTCTCCGTAAAATGCATATGCTTTCCAAAGTACATCCATGGTGTAATGGAGGAATTAGAAAAAGTTGAAAGAGTGAAATGATCATCATTATGATAACAGATATCACGATAATTATGATGATGATCATCATCTCATGATCAAAAAGAAGAGGGAATGATATGGTGCTTTTGTTCTGAAGTGATGATGTGAGAGGGCAGGTGAAGTTTGCGTTTATATAGGGAAATAAGAGGATGAGATTAACGGAAAGCTAGGCCTCTATTGAGAATATATATTACTTATACTGTGTATACTAACAGAAGCTGGACCTTTAATTGAAAAAACAAAATGGAAGCGTAAAGATAATAAATTAAACAAAATCAACAATAACAAATATATAGTTATCTTTTGTCAAAATAAACATATATTTATAAAATATATATTTAACGAATGATCGTATAAAAAATTATTCAACATAGCTTCGGTATATAGATTCCAATATAAATTTAGGAATAAAGCATAGAGACAAAAATTCAAGAACACACATAGCTCTATTAATCTATTTGTACACGTTACATTGAAAATTTCTTTATAATTTGTTCCACCATAAGTCAGAAAGAAAATATATATTTAAATAAATCGCAACAATTAATAAGTGCCCATACAAACGATAGCTGATATTACACGTTAAACGAATCTCGAGTTGAGATATGTACTTTAAATTCATAAAGACTGTTTTGGGTAAAGCAGTATTATTCTACGTAGTGCAAAATTACAAATAGTGATGCGCTCCGCATTCAACCAAAATAATTCCCCAATATATTTAACGTAATTCGTTTTTTTTTTGGGTTTAAATGTTATAATTCGTTTTTCTTATCAAGATTTGCCACGGTATAAAGATTTTACTTTTAGACTATCTCCATTCTATTTTGCTATTTTTTCTTCTAAAATAGAAAAACTCTAAAATAGAAGTAAATTTCTTTCCAATCTACCTTTATTTTAGAGGAATACCTCTATTTTAGAAGAAAATATAGAAGAACCTATTTTTTCCTCTATATTTGGAAGAAAAAGTAGCATCTCTATCTTTTTCTTTAAAATAGAGGTGGATTAGAGAATAAAAATAATACCTCTATTTTTTTATCTAAAAGTAGAGGAAAAAATAGCAATAGATTAGAGATGTTCTTAGTTGAGACTGTTGATTTCTCTCTATCTCATTTTTTAACGTTTGAATTATGGAATTTGTGTGGAATAAATTAAATTTGCCTCTTTCTCCTTATTTTTTTACCTTCAAATTTTCCTCTGTTCTCTTTTTACTAATCATTTAAGAATTTTAGGGTTTCCTATTTTCAAAAAAGTAAGTCAAGAGACAAGTGGAATATATGAAAATGAAGCTAGGCAGGACATTCATTGAGTAGTTTTGTTATGTCCTTCTCCATCCTCTCTCGAGTAATATCATCAATAAAAAAAAAAAAAGCTAACCTTCCTAATATCATATATATATAATTATATTGTTTTGTCCTAATAGTATATATATATAACTACATTACTAAATCCTTTAACAAAAAAAATATATAACTACATTATTACTATCTTCAAATTATACATATGTCTATGATTTAGTTGAAGACATACTAATGTACAATTAGATAATTTAAAACATTCATTCAAACAAAAAAATATTAGACGACTTATTTTATAATGCAGTAAATTTGGTTGAGAACACATATTTTTCTATAACTTTTTTAAACAAATATCACCTTTATGCAAGTAGATGACTGGTCTACGATCATCTCCATCAGTGAGACGACGCTAATCTAGGTCTCAGGGCTCCCCAGCAAAAATAATACTAGTAGTATTTTTAAAGAATCTTATTAAAACCCAATGTAGATGCTCTCTGAGCTCTTTTATCTTCTTCCCATGCACCCAATTAAAATGATAATACAAAAATCAAATATGAGGGACGGGTGAGTAATTACTGTAATTCTGATTCAGTTTTATGTATTTAATGGCGTTTTATATGTAAGAGGAGAACAAACAAAAAGCTGCAAATGTATAAATAGGTGTAATCATCACAAACTTTAGGATGTGACAATTCATTATCAAGCTTCTGTCTCTTTCTCTGTTCTTCTCTCTGATGGGCTTTTAATATTGATATTATTTCTTACTAGTTATTTTCAGAACCAAGAAAAGAAAAGTAAGTTTTCAAAATTGAGAAAGCCTAGCCATGCATGCTTATTACCGATTCTTCAACGTTCAGATTGTGTAAGTCAAAGAATCTCTTATACCAATATAGAAAGTGGGACAGGAGTCGACTTTGATCGACTAGTTTTTTTAATCGGAAAAATACCTTTTTGTCAATTCAGAAAAATATTACTCGTGCATCTAGTTTTTTTTTATTTTGTTGTTAAAACTTAAAAGAACCAGTTTTATATAAAAAAAATTCGAGGAAGTAAATGGACGATCCTAGTAACATTTTCTTGTTCCATCGTCGTTGGGGAAGCGACCTACATATACCACAGTTCTAGTTGCTATTATCGCTAGTTGATTACCGAATAATATATGTTTTGGGCTGGGCCACAACTGATTTCATCGATAGATGTAGGGAAAAAAAAGGCCATAATTAGTAAATGACGCAAGATATGTTTTAACTTTCGATCGTAGTTTTACAGAAATTAAACTCTTTTTGTAGACTTTTGAAGTTCAATGATCTTCGATTTTGAGTTATATTTACGTTTTTAAAAGTTATGAATTCTAAGCCTATGAAATTAAATGTTTAATCTTGGATTGGGTCAACACTCGTAAGAACAGAATGGAAATGGAAAAAATTACTCCGATTTAAACCAAATAAACTATACTAATATAATAGAAGTGTTTGCCATTTTACACATTTACAACGCGTGGCTTTATAGCAACAAGTTTATTTACTGTTTCTGGTTCTACTGATTGGGCTATCTTTTTAGCCCATAGCGGCCCATACTTGTTTAATGGATATATCTATGGCTGGGCTTTCAACCAAATTGTATTTTCACAGAAGCCACTTGATTAATGATTTTTAACTTTATATAATAAGATACTGTCTGATTTGTACTTACTGACTACTGTCTGATTCTCGTGAATTTTGTTTTGAGAAAATCTATTTTGGGATTTTTTAGAACAGAACTTTCAAACCTCTCTAAAAACATATCAGTTCTGTTACCAATGCCATTGAGCCACTCCTCAGAAATGACGTTTCAAACAGAATGCTTTACGACTATGACTTGAAAGGTTAGGGGCATTTTTGGTAGTTTCAGTCACTCTCAAAGACTCTAGAGAGTCAGAGACACACACAAAACACATTTTGCACACTCCTCCAAAAGCCTGAATATTCCATAAAGCTACAGCTTCTTCTTCATCTCCAGAGTTCGAGGCGTAAGCAAAGAGATTGGTGTAGTGAAGAAGATGGTTTTTTCTCCTTACCCAGATTTCGTCTTGATTTACAACTCCCATGATCTTTCTCTTCCCCAACGTTTGGTAATAATCTCTCTCTCTCTCTCTGTTTTCTTCTTCTTCTTTGTTTGTTTTCTGAAAAAGATTGCAACTTTCTTCTCCAAGTTATGTTTTTTTTTCTAGACTGTAGAATATTATAGATGATCTTTGATGAGAATGCAGGTGTATAGTCTGTGTGCTTCATGTTCTGTTATGATAATGTCCTGTACCACTTTAAACATTGATTCCTCAATTCGTACTTTTATTTGACTGTTCTGTTTAAATCTTAATCTGATTCCTCTCTTCTTGATTTCCTGGAATTCTGTTAAACTCTTTTACCTTTATTTATCTGTTCCTGATATCTTACGGTTTGGTTATGTTCGTGTTCTCTGAGGGTTTGAGTTTGATCCTGATTTCTTAGGGTTTTTGGTTATGTTTGCTCTCCTAGGGTTTGGTCCTGTTACTCATCTCTGAGGGTTTGGGATTGTTCCTGATTTCTTAGAGTTTAGTTCTGTACTTCTGTTCCTGAATTCTTAAGATTTTGTAAAGTTTCTGATCTCTTATGGTTTGGTTTATGCCCCTGCTTTCTTAGGATTTGTTCTGTTCAACTCGAATTCGGATTCCTCTGTTCTTGATCTCTCTTTGTCACTAAGTGTAACGTTCACTTTTGTGTGGCATTGTCATTTTATCTTGATTCATCTGTTCCTGATATCTTACGGTTTGGTTCTCTTCTTGATTTCTTAGGATTCGGTTATGTTCCTGTTCTCTGAGGGTTTGAGTTTGATCCTGATGTATTAGAGTTTGTTTCTGTTCCTGATTTTTAGGGTTTTTGGTTATGTTTGCTCTCTTGGGGTTTGGTCCTGTTACTCATCTCTGAGGGTTTGGGTTTGTTCATGATTTCTTAAGAGTTTAGTTCCTGTTCCTGGCTTGTTAGGATATGTTCTGTTCAACTCGAATTCAGATTCCTCTGTTCTTGATCTCTCTTTGTCACTGAGTGTAACGTTCACTTTTGTATGGCAACTGTCATTTTGTAGGTAATCCCAAGTGATTACAGAAAGTACTATCCAACGCCTCTCCCTCAGACAGCTGTTCTCCGGAAGCCAGAAGGAAACTTCTGGACTGTCAAGTGGAAAATAAGTGAAGAGGAGACAATTAGCTTCGAAGATGGTTGGTCTAAGTTTGTCAAAGACAACGGTCCCATTGACGGAGACTTTCTCTTATTCACCTACGATGGTTACCGAAGCTTCTGGGTACGCATTTACCGGAATGGACTCGTCGTGGAACCAAAAACGACCATCAAGGTACAGGAGATTTCAGATGATGACGACGAAACAGGTGGTGATGACGATGAAACAGTTGGCGATGACGATGTTGGTGATGATGATGGCGATGAGGATTACGACATGGAAAAAGAAGAAGATAGCAATCAGAACACGATCACTTCTCTTTCTTTGGGAACAAGCGACGAAGATGATGCTGATACAACGATTGGCGAAGTTAACATAGGTCATTCAAGTTTAAAGAGAGGTAAAACCACAACGATCTACAAGTTTTTTCTTTTCTTCTAGCTGTGTTGTTCCCTAAAGTTCCCTACTGAGAGAGATCTTCAACAGGAGGGTCTAATTCGCAAAGGAAACGTGCTGAGTTTGTTGGTGATCCGGAAATGTATATTGATGATCCCAGAAACCCTTGCTTCATCGCAACTTCGTCGTGCGCAAGGGGTTTATTGGTGCGTTTTTCTTTCATCTCTAACGTTGTCTTTATAATTATAACGTATTTTTTCTTTCCGTTTTTTGTTTATTTATCAGATTGTGTTCTGTGATGGTTGCTTGTAGGTTATTGCCATGCAAGTGATAAAAGACTATAGCCTAAAGTTTGATGGAACAGTCAATCTCATCGATCGATATGGGGTGGTAGAAGGAAGAGTTGGAGGCTGGACAGATCGTGTTGTGGTTTACAAGTGGGACGAAATCTATAAGAGAAATGATGCAAAGCCTGAAGACCTAATCATATGTGAGATTCTACGGGAAGGAAATGTTGTTAAATCCATCAAGCCTCATTTCGTCAAAGCCTCGTATCGTTAAGAAATGATGTTGCGGTAGGAAACTTGTCTCTCTTGGTGAAATCTTATGTTTAATTCTTGGTTTATGTTACCCTTACTCTTTTAAGCTCTTGTGTTAGCTTTATGTTAGCCTTTTGTCTTTTGGGATCTTGTTGAAACTTTATGTTTAAGTAACTTTATGTTTAAGTTTGGATTTAAGTTTTTAAGTTTTGTGTCGCATGTGTAGTATAAAACATATGTCAACAGAGAGAGAGAGATCAAAAACAGAGGAATCAGAGTTGAAAGAAGATAGGCCGTTGATATGGACACTTCCACTAAATTTCATCACTATATATATATATATTTTGTATGTCACCATCTTATATAAGTGTATAATAACAGCCATCTTATATATTTGTAAAATTTAGATTCTACAAAAGAAAGATTTAATCGCTTTTGGTTTAAACGAATAAGATATTTCTTGAGGGCTGGAAACTAAAGACATATAAAGACAGCCTTTACTTTTCTACACAAGAAGTTGAGTTGTCCAAATCAACCGCGTCACTGAATTTATAGCAAATCCTCCATCTTCCTCACATTTATTAAGCATACATTATTCAGTTACATCCAAATGTCATACATTTATTAAATTTAATCTAACCCGATCGATCAGATTTGACCTGCAATCTATCAAAAAAGTTCGGTTAGAAACTTATAATTTTTTTTTTTTATAAAAAATTTAGGACTACTGAAAAAGTCAAAATGGTAACTTCGCAAAGTAATCACTACTTGGATACATCAAAGAAGATGAAATAAGGGAAAAGTTAGGTTGAGTATATAATCCAACCAATATATAAAGATACTAAATTCTGACCTCACAACAATACATCAGAGTCTTATCTCAACTCAAACAAACAATTAATCATTTATGGTTTTATACGTTAGACTTAGATCATTTATTTTAATCAGAGAATTAAATCTGTGAAGCTTTTTGCGTCATACCTTTTCGTAGTTGTAACAGGTAAGCTCTATGGATAAAGTAATAATTTAATAGTAGTTATTACTTGTGATAGAAAACAAAGAAAAAAAAGGGGAAAAGAGGATGAGGAAAAGGTCAAAATGCAAACAATAATTGAATAAATATATAATTAAACGACGAAACACATGCAATGTTCACCATTCAATGAACCAACCTTATATTTAAATTTAATAGTTTTTGGTATCTTGCTTAGCTTTTCAACTTTTTAAGTGTGGTTATCTTTCTTTTTCTGGAAACTTTTTGTTCGCCCTTTTCCAGTTTTGTCTTCTTCTTTTACATTTTTTTTTCGTTTTGTATAGAAAAATGCAAGAAACCTAAGCAATTACAGATTTTCTACGTTTACAACTGCTGTTACACCATTCTTAAATCGAGAATCAATGGTCCCCTGAGACTAAAGAAAATGTAAATGTATCACGTATCTATCCAACGTTTTTATTGTAAAAAGAATACTTCAACTTTATTAATCTTCATTATTTATCTATCAAATAATTATCTATAATCGCTACATAAATCACCTCTCCCGTACCGTACATAAACACAAAAACTAGACTGTGGAGTAAATAAAAAAACTATAAACACCTTTTTTTTACTGTTTTTACCCCTAACTGTTTCCCTTTCACCCGCCAAAACCCGTTGAGACATATTTACATCCCTGCCCTCTCACTGTCCACCGCAACAACAAAACTCCATCTCTGTTTTTACTCATTCAAACAGCCAACGTAATACTCGTCGGCAGTAAATCACCTGCGCTCCGTTCACCGGAATCTTCATCTAGCTCGAGCCGAGCAACTGTACGGTCACCAGAAGTACCAGAAGACGACACGCGAGCCTTAAGCTGGCTCAGAACAGGAACAACTGTCTTCTCAATCCATTCCTCTAACTCAGTCTGGCCTAACCAAACTCCGCTCAAGATTCTCTGAAGCGCCTCGTCCTCGACTTCTATCGACAACGATTCGCCTACCGTCCTCGCGAACCTCTCCGACAAAGCATCCGAGATCTTCCGTCTAACAGCTCCGAAATCAACCGCACGGAACGCTACCGCATCGTCTACGCGGCTGACCAGCTCGTGGAACGCAAACGGAACGCACTGAAGCGACAGCTTCCCACTAAAACCTTGCTCTTCTTGGTCGTTCTCTGTCGTTAGATCGCTCGTATTATGAGACCCATCATCCGTATCAGCGGCTTGGTTCAAATCAAAAGATAATAAACCATGTTCTTTCTTAGGTTTCGTCAGCCTCTCCTCATCGCGACACAGCCAGCTAGCTCGCCGTTTCCCGAATTTCTCCCGCATACACAGCCTCAAACGCCAGCTCTCGCTCGCCAAGTCCTGGAGTTTCGTCTCACTGTCTACAAAAGACGTTTTCGTCCCTGCGGATTGCCAGCTCGCCGTCATGACAAAGATCACGTTGCCTAAACTGATCTCACGGCCATGCGAGTCACAGATCCTGCCTCTGTCCATCGCCCGTTTTATGCTTCCACGCAGCAACAAATCAGCTTCGTCTATATCTTCAAGCAAGATTACAGAGAAGGGACTCCTCTTGACCGTTTCCGCGATCCTATCCAACACGGTTTTACCACGGATGTTATGGTTTCCGTCTCCGGAATCCTGTCTCGACCCGAGCTGAATCATAATCGGATTGGTCCCGTACACAAGGGAAGACAGAGCCGACACCATTTTTCTCTTCCCGACTCTATCCGGCCCTGAAAACAGTAACCACACGTCTCCCTTCGACAAAACACCGCGTCGTTTCCCGTTCCCGAGCTTGCATTGACTAACGGTCGCAGCCACCGCAGAGGCTGCATCGTGCTGCCACCAAACTTTCTCCGTCATTCCCTTAAGCAGCTTCTTAAACAAATCAATGTCTAAAGAGTTCTCAAGATTCCCCTTCTGCAGAACACTGATCTTATTGTTCTTCTCCACTGATTCAGACGATATGCAGCCGAGAAAGTCTCTCACTTGCACATCCTCTGTTTTCTCCAAATCCTGGAATACGCAAAAACGCAGAATACGTCAGGTTTTATGGTTTTCCGGTAAGCATTTTTCATTTTCATATTCATCACAATATTCAAATATCCAAATCGACAAACCTCTGTTCGTCCAAGAACAAGATCGGTCTGAACCGGGCTACCGGGAGGGCTCTTCTTCTTCGGCTGTTCCGCCACCAAGGAGCTCATAGGCTTCAAGTGTCTATTGGGCTGAAACTTGGGCTGCAACGGCTGACGAAGAAGCATATTGGGGCTGTAGGAGCTTGTCGTCATCGGCATAGGGATACACGCATCGTTCTTGCTATGAAAGCTAGGATGAAGACGCACACACGCATCGTTCCATTTTTTCTGCACTTCTTCAATCTTTGCTTGCTGCGTACCCCAAAGATTCAAACATTCAGAAAACAATCCTTAAACGGACGTATTTACAAACACTAATTGTAATCATATTAACTAAATTTATAAAGCCATTGCAATCGTGGAATAGAAGATTTAAAACCGGAACTTACCGGTAGACGATCGGCCGGTTTAGCTTTCAATAGCCACTGTGGCAACTGTTTCGGCTGAGCTACATCTGGTTTAACCTCTGGAGACATTGAATCAATTTCGGAGAGCTCTCGCTCGTAGCTTTGAGAACATTGCGGACAACAGTTCAATGTCTTGTTCGCAGGCACGAAGCTCTTCAACGGCGTGAATGATTGAGCCGACGATCCCAAATTGTTGGCAAGCCTAATGAGAAAAATTTAATCAATACATATGAATCTAGCTGAGATCTCTCATAAAGCTGAGAGCTTTTTTCCTTCATCGAAACGAAGAAAATCAAACACCACCCACCTCGGAAAAACGCCGGCGGCCGGAGCTTTCGCTGCCACCGACACAGCTTGCAGATCCCAATCAGTCTCCATTGATGGATGATAAACTTGACATCTTAGATAAGTCTCGCACGTCGCGGTTCCTATAAACCAGAGTCTTCCTTCGTATTTCTCCAGAAGCCTTCGTAGTTCCGCCACCGCCGTCCTCCCTACCTCCACCGCGAGCGTTGGAGGCGGTTGCGTTGAGCTCGGTTGCTCCACGAGCCATTTCAGGTCTCCCAGATCGAGAATTACTCCGCCGCCGTCGCCGGGAGGGTCCGAGTTCTTTATCCGGGTCTCAAGCAATCCGTCTAATTCCCTGATTCGCAGAGCCTTATCCGAATTGATTTCCTCGAAATGAATCACCTTCGCGTTCTTCACCGATATATTCCCAACTTCTCCGGCTTCAACTTTCCTAAGGATCTCACGAATTACCCGACCCGGCTCCGAATCTCCGACTAAGACCGGGTTTTTCTTCTTCGCCCGGCCCAATATATCCATGACCCGCTCCACGTCGTCGTTCTTATTAATCCCTGATTGCGCCGACGCGTTCTGTTGCAACCGTGGGTTAAGATACGTATTCCGGGTCATCGGACCTCCGCCGGGTCGGAAATTCAATCCAGATGAGGAAATGCTCGGAATTGGCGTCGGATTAGATGGAGTATTACTCAACGACTGTTCGATTGTGGCTTTGACGGCGGGACTGGAGAAGCTAGCCTCTCGCATAACCCGGCTCACACTCGGGTCATCCAAAATTGAGATAATGAGCTGCTCCAGCTCCACTTTAACCGCCAACAACGGCTGCTGCTGCTGCTCCGGACATCCACGGCGTTGATGAGCTTGCGCTCGTTTCAGCGCCGCCATAAGCGCGTTGGAGATCGGCGGATCGTTCGCCGGAGTCGCCGTCGCGGTGGGGAGACGCTCGAGTGCGACGCTGAAGCAGAGCTCGAGGGCTCGGCACTGAAGCGGATGGGAAGAATTGGGGTGGGATCGGATGCAGGCTCGTCGGAGAAACCCCGCCGGGGAAGCAAGAAGAGTGGCTGCGACATGGAGCGGCGTGGTTTGGCCGTGATTACGACGCGCCGCCTCTGAGATTGATTGGTTTAAAACGGTGGCAGCCTCCGGCGTCAGAGTCTGTTGGATCGTACTTAAACCGGCTCTCATCGTTCTTCTTCCACTTTGTGTTATCTCTCTCTCTCTTCCTCTTTCTTCAATTATATGTGGGAATTAAAAAATTGGAAAAAATGTAAAAACCGAATCTTTTTCTTTTTAGGCTAAGAATGAAATAAAAATTGAATCTTTTGAGTTGGGTTCTCAATTATTCAGACAGTTTTATGAACTGTGTTCTCAATTTCCCGATCGGAAAAAAAAAGGAGAAGGAATAATGATAATGAATATAGGATTTGCCTGAACTCATTCAAAAGAATATCCACCGGCCAGAGAAATGAAAAGGCTTTAGATAGGTTTTATAAGACAAAGGAGGAGAAAAAGGTAGTCTTTTTTTTTCTTGAGTTAAAGGAGAAAAAAAATCTAAAAGATTATTGGGAGAAGTAGACAAATTGGGATTTCAAATGGATCACAAAAAATGGCTTTTTAGAAAGATTAAAAAAATAATAAAATAAAAAGATGGAACTTTCAGATGCAACAAATTGAAGATAAAAAGTAAATATAGAAAGGTGGGGAAGTTGCAGAGTGAAGAAAATTCAAAGAGAAAAGGATAGAAGAAGTGAATAATACTACTTTCTCGCTTTTGCTCTTTATAATTCATAAAAGCTGGACGCGTATCTCTGCTTGTTTATACATATTCATTATATACACATCTCACGTAAAATTGGTAAAACTTGCGACACATAATAATTGTGGAACAGTGGATGTGTGTTAAACTGTTAAATAAAAAAACTTATTTTTCTTACTGGTCCATTCCCATTTTAACGCCTAAGTTTTTAAAGGCTCAGGCATCAAACTGATTTTTCAGCATAGTCTTCTCTCTTAAGAAATAAAAAAAAGTTTAAGCTTTTATTCGTTTATAAAAATTTGTTTTCTTTTCATTTCCACTAAATTAGTTTAGATTCTTGACTTACTTTTACATCCATTTTAAAAATAATAATTATAATAATTCCAACACCAACAAAAAAGTTATTAAGTAAACATTTTTGTGATACAAACAAATTAAAGTTGTATCTAGAAGCATGGCTTTAATCAACATTAGTTTCTTGCTATATTATCATCTCTTTTTTTGTTAAAGTACATTATCGACTTTTCAGAATTCAACATTTTCTCCGTGATATATACTTAGAAACAAAATTAACAATAATCTAACAGGAAATTAACATGTATTTTTACATAGGTCTAAAACAGGTAGTGTTCATGAGATGTCCATGCAATTCAATTCACGTGATATATCACATATAGTTACTCCTTATACGAGCAATTATTAGACGGGAGTAGAAAAAAAATAGACTATCATAAACAATAATGTTTTTAGTGAACGTTTGAAATGGGGGGAAATATATGGTTTTCGATTGGTTTAAAATTATTTTGGTCTTTTTTTTTTATAAAATTTTATTTTGGTCTTCTTGCGATTTTTTTTAAAAACGACAAAGCTCGCATGATTTCATATAACTAAATTTTCAAAACGTGGACAGTTAAAATAAAGCATAACATTCTAGTAATATGAAAGTATTGAATCTCAAGTGGAAAGTCAAATAACAAGAATTTCTAAGGATATGAGACAAAAGCTCCGATTAGTAATAGTGTGTAAGTTATAGAATAGTATGAAAATAAAATTAATTTGTAAAAAGGTTTGAATCGAAACTTAAGTCAATACGCGTTTTAAAAGTAGACTTTGATATTATATGCGTTTACTCGATTCAAATAAAAATTGGGCTTACTTTCAGTGGTTATTATTTCTCACACTTTTAATCAAGCGTTGACTACCTTAACTTAATTCAAAAGTATGTAAAAATCAAACTGAAATTAAAAGGCAATTAACGGGCTCAGCATGGTTACTGTAACCGAAATGACACGAACATAACAAAAACGAGAGCTGTACTCCTTTTCATTTTATATTTGCGGAGATAGCACATTTTGTTTAAGCAACTACTGTAGTTTTTTATTTCGTTAAAATGCATCTCTGACAAAAGAGAAGCATACAAACTTTCACTATATTTAAACAATGCTATCGTAATAATATAAGATTATAATGTGAAAATCAAATGTCTGAATTGCGATCAAATATGGTAGCATTTCAGTAATGAAACCGGTAATACTGACAAGTGACAATTGGTTAAAGACGCAACAAGTTTTTTGACAAAATTGGACACAGCCTCAGCTTTAGAATTTTCCTCTTGCAAAGTGGTTAGGTGCCTATACTATCGTATCTCCGCATATGGCTTGACACATTCGAATATGTATACAACAACTTCTTTGGCAAAAATAGATATATGCGATCAATGCATTTGTATAATTTTAACAAGGTTCCGTAATTGTTTTTCTGTGTATTTTTATATTATTACTTGAATTATTAACTTTAGAACAAAAGAAACAAAAAAAACTCGGATTATTAACTATGGAACTTGCAATCGATGATTTCTCGTGTGCTCAATTAACATAAAAAGCTGCCGTGAGTACTTTAATTATTTATAATCTCTTTCTTTGTTTTTAATACGAGAAAAGCTTATGGTGGCTATTTTTTCTGCTTGTTATTAGCTTTCAATCCATGTTATCGTTTTCGATATAAAATAAAAGAGTTATTTTCAATTTATATTATAAAAAACTTCAAACCCAGAAAATATAGAAATATAAGCGGATCAATGATCTCACTTCTGTGGGTTCTCCACTAAATCTAAAGTTTGATCTTTTAATCTCTTTAACCAGAGTATATGTCTTTTTACTCAACGAATGCTAAGAGCAATAAGTTCAAAAAATTACGTGTAAGTTATTTGACCTTGAAAAAAAATCACAAAAATCGTTAATACTAATTGCATCATATTTCCTCTGTTCCATATTGTATGATGTTTTGGATTTTTAATTTGTTCAAAAAAGATTGATTTTCTACATTATATTTAATATATATTTTTTTCAAAATAACTTTTTGAGTAAAAAAATATAAAAAAATAAGTATTAAATTAATAAACAAATAAAAAATACTTTAGAAAAATAAATAATTATTATTTTTTAATATTTATGAAATATCTAAAATATTATACATTCTTCAAGGGAAGGAGTATAAATTTTCACTAGATGGAAATTACTTATTCTACAACGGAGGGAGTATAAATTTTCACTCGGTGGAAGTTACTTATTAACTGATGCACAGTTGTATGTGACGATTAGTGACACTTTTCGGTAAGACCTGTTAATAAAAGAACGGAAAAGAAATCTACAAAGTACTTTTTAGTAAGTTATTAAACTAATCAAGATACATTTTAATTAATTAATATAATACCTTAAAGGGCACAAAAATCATGATGCCCCCTTTTGGTAACGCATGCTCTCGCTAGTCGCTTCCCTTTCCCTTTACGCATTTTCTTCTTCTCCTCGATATACCTATCCCTATTATTTATTGTTTCTTCTAAGAATATTTACTAGTATTCTATTAAAATGCATGGTAAGAATTCTATGGCTATAGCTCTGAATGTCACCTAGTTTGAAAAAATAGTTACTTAGTTTGAGAAACAGGATTAACCATACATTTAACTAAACTAGTAAGACAGCTTTTAGAGACAATAAAAGCTAAAGAAAGTGAAGAAGGAGCTAGAGAAAACAAACATAAAGTTACGGTAAGCGTAGTGTCCATTAAAAGTCTCAATGAGTGTATGTATGTGGTGATTCTTAATATGTAAATTGGTCTGTTTAAGAGTATTTTAGTTGTTATATAAATCCCTTAGAGAAAGTGACCGAAGATGAGATTTTGGTGGTGTAGATGGGTGAAAATTGAAAAAAGCCAACGCGTGATATTGCTTCCTCGACAATCACCTTTTTCCTAATTATTAGCATCGATTTTTAAGTTTACTTTATCTTTCTCGGGTCGTTACAATGTGAAAAAGGCTTATTGTATCCAATTTTATTTTTCTAAACAAGAAAAAAGGTCAAACAAACCTTTTACGCACGCTACAACTTTGAAAATAGGTTTTAGCACTATTTTATGGAATTTCCATGCGTGTACATATATTTTATTGCATGAAACATGTTAACTTCGAGTTAAGTTGCAGTGGATTTTTTGTTTACAACGAATTTTTTTGAACTTTTACGGTAAATATTCTTTTAGTTGGAGAAATAAAAACATGCTTAAGATACATATATAGCTTATTAGCTTTGTAAAGTTATATACACGTACGATTCTTTTGGAAGCAAAATTTGGATATTATGATTACAGAATACATATATACATTATAAACATCATACCAGAAAGGAAAAGAGAAAAAAGAATCTTGCTTTTCACACACGAGTTCTACTTTTGTTTTTGAAGTCAAAAACGTTGTCGGTGCGCATTGAGAAGATAAAGAAAATGGATTGATCAAAAAGATGACAACTTTTAATTTCTTTCAAAGACTTTCTTACTTTCTCACAAAGTCTAAATGATTACTACTGAATAGAAGAATGATATGATGAGAAGGGAAAATAAAGTAAATAAATAATCATTTTTTTTCTTATTTTAACTGCTTTACTTACACATGCACTTGGGTAATGTGTTTACGCATTTTGGGTAGCATCGTGTCATCTTCTAGGTCAAGCTTTTACCCAACACAACTAATCACTCAAAACAAAAGTGTTCTTTTCATTTCTCACACCCACCTCTTTCATTTCTTTCTCTCTCTTATTATTTTAGTTTATCAAGCAAGTCAATATCCGGACGTTATAAAATCGAAATACTGCTCATAATGATTAAGATGAATAAACAATTATGAACCGGTATTACGTCGCATTTTGAAAAAAAATATATTATGCTGCCAAGTAGTTTTTATGATTTCTTCTTTCCCTAGGGTTTTTTTTTCTCCTTATTCTCTCTCTCGTCGATAAGAATTAAGGATTTCAACAAATTTCTTGACGAAAAAGTAAATTGATCAATCCATTTTCTTTACCAATTTAATTAATTCTCTTCTAAGTTCTTTCTAAGTCTTTAACAAAAAAAAAGTTCTTTCTAAGTAGTTTTAATGATTTTCTCCTTAAGTCTTTTCGGAGCCAATTTCTTTTTGTTCTTTCTAGGTTCGATTCTTTTTAGGACTCTAATTCGAATCTCATTTGAGAATGGCGTCAGTTCTTTAGAGAAAGATTATCCTCAACTACTCGGTTTCTGACCTAAGGAAATACGGGCTAAATTAGAGATATATGTATATAAAAAAAAAACGGAACTAAATCAAGCCAAAAAGATGAATATTGGCTCCTTTTCTTTCACATTATAATAACGCGTGTCTTTCTTTGACCTATTTGATTTTGTTTTTGTTTTTGATTTTGTTTTTTTCCACTTAACCATAATATAATTTTCAAACCTTCACATTCCATCAAAACACAATTTCGAGTAAGCCATATTGTCATGTATACATATACTTCCTAAATGATTGATCTCATAGTACTTCGATCAATCAATAAGGCGGAGATTAAGATGTATTAGTATGAAAGAAATAATTTGACTTTTGAAAAATTATTGAAGTACGCGGTAACCATTATCCCCAAAATTCATTTAGTCATCAATGTTCTCCACTAGTAAAAAGTAGTTTGTGCTGATAATCCGTCTGTTATGCAAGTGACGCACAAGTGATAGAGCAGCATATATAAAGAACGTTTACAAGAAAATAAACTGTCTATACTATATAGAAACTTTTACTTGTTATCTGTCTTCTGCTTAGAGATAGAAACAACAATTATTTGATCGTAAAATATAGCGTCCAGTCATAACATTCTTTTTCGAATTTGGATTCAACGGAAGCCGTTTCTGATTAAACTAACCATATTTAAATTTGTGTTCTTGATGCTTATAATTAATCATAAATCGCGTATAAAAGATTGGATCGACCGAGGTCAAACTTTGATATCTTTATATACGTCTAAGGACTTTCTGGAAGTTTGTTTGTTTTAGTTAATGGGTTAAAGAGAAAAATTGGAATCAAAAGTTTGTCTCATGAAGTAGTGGAGAAGTCTTACTTGTCTTCTGTGTTCTGTCCACCATAAAACCCTACTTGTAATATATTCCCATTAATTGCCTCACCACTTTTTGTAATAACCATATTTTGAAACATTTCATACTCTAATTCAAATCATATATAAACCGAGTTAAAAATAGAATATATGTGCATATTATTAGAGGACCATGTATATCGTTTGCTTTTGTTTTAGCTACCCTTTTTTTTGACATCGTTTAAGCTACTTTTTTTATTGGAACTACCTGCACATATAGTTAAATTACATTGTATGGTCGAAAACTGCCGATTTTTTTGTGTGGTTGTTACTCGTAAAGAGCAAGTCGACCAGAAAATTGCTTAGGGGCCTGAAGAAAAAAATAGAAAGAAAACAAAAAGAGGAGACTAAAAAAAATTATACATTAAGAACGTTATATTAAGTTGCTTTGATATTTATTTAATTTTATGACAAGTGAATAACTGATGAATCATTGTCGCTCAATGTTTCATGAGTTTCTAGCATTGGTAATTTTCATGTTTATTTCATTGTTAAAGAATAGTAATAAAAAAATTAAAGGGTACGTAAATTCAAACACCCATATGGCCATGTGTTTTTCCCTCTGCGTTTGATCCATTTACAGTAAGTATCATTCTCAAATGCATTAATCCTTTAACGTAAATTTTATAAATCAGCTGTATCCTTTCATAATGTATGCTAGAATCAGTATCGGGTTGGAAATTTAATTTGAATGAATAAACAATAATGCTGAAAACAAAATAAATGCTAAATGTGTTTATTATTTGTTTGGATCATATGGCCTTCCCTGATGCTTATCTTTAGGCACATTCATTACATGAAACAAAAACTTAGGTGATAATTTATTCAGTGCCCAAGGGACCATCGCAACCACTCAAAAAAATATATATCCACATTTCTTTTTTAATTTAATAAATGTCCTTACAGAAATAAAATCATTAAAGAGATTTTAAACCATCTATAAAGAATTTCTTTGTGGGTTTTCAAACACATTTTTTTATTATTTTAATGTAATTGAATTTAAATTTGAAAAGGAAAATTGAATTAATATATAAATGAGATATATGGTATGGAATTTTCTATAGATTTTTAAAGATTTTCAAATGAGAACTTTTCTTCACTCTCTCTTCTCTTTTAATTATTATTTTTTTATTATTATTTAGAATCTCTCATGAAAACTCTTCATTACATATACTTTTAAAAATAAGAAAAAATAACTAGAAAAATAAATTTATATCTTATATTTTAGATCTTTTGAAGAAGAGAAATTCAAACTATAAATTGATATATTCTCTATTGTAAATTCATAATTGCTTTTATCAACCTTGTAATTTATTGTTTCGTTTACTGTATTTCATTTAAAATTTGTTTTAAACTAGAGTAGGGTGATTTACAATTTAATATTTCTGTTTTAAGAAATAATTTAATATAAAAGATGAAATAAACTTGATATAATGAAATCGTTTTTTATTTAGTATATAGTTTTTAAAAATCACTTTTAATATATATAGCAAAAACGATTTTTTATAAAAAGCCAAAAAAAATCATTTATATTTATAAAAAGTATATATCGCGCGTGATTGTCTTTATAAGTCTGCTTTTACATACAGATTGTTTTCCATTACTCCTTAAATTGTTTTATATGCATAATGAATATCTTATTGTTCAACGTCAAAATATCACAATTCCTCTATACATTTTGAGTGTTTTTATCTACAGTTATACAAAATAAGATATCAGCAATTAAGCATATGTAAAACTTTTGTTCAAACAATAAAGCAATTCAGCATATGTACATTAAACAAAAAAAAACGATCTAATACTTTAAGAAATAATTGGTCCCATCATGGCTCATGCACACTTGTTTCCCATTTTATCGAGTTGGAACATGTCTGGAAATTTGGATTATTCATATATATATATATATAATTGAACTTGTTTGTAATTTGAATATAAATAAATAAATAAAATGAGAGTAATTTCTGTTTTTGTTCTTTTAGTCATCAATACATGTGGGCTTATCGGTGCAAGTAACTTTGAATGTTATGAGTAAGAAAAACAAAAAAGTGTTTGCTTCGATCATCTATCAAAGATGCACCTCCCGAAATTCCCGCCGGGCATGTAACACATTGGATTCATCCATTTAATTTCTCTAAATTATTGTCTATTCTTACGTTATTACAATTTTTTTATTATTTTTTAGTCGGTCGTTACTTTTGTTTGTGAATGAAATATATATACGTATACGAATTTCTGCAAGTATACTAACGCGGCACATGCATTATATATAACATATAAAAATGCACACTTATCTCGAACACTCACTCACACCACATATATATAAGTTTAGCAGGAATAAAAACAAAACAAAGTTGTGTATTAAAGAACAAAAAGGTTTGCTGTTATACTCTGCAGTGTACCTAGACACATACATTTTATTTTGTCTAGACACATTACACATATATACGTATTAAAAGTACATTATGAGAGGTTTTTATATAAAATAAACTACATTATGAGAGGTCATATTATACACACACAAGCCATGGTATTTTCCGTATTCTATTTGCGACAAGGCGGTTTTATAAATTTTTACCGACACGATATATTTTAAGTAAATCTCACATGTTTTGAATATTAGATATGCATATATATAATGCCAAATATGTATCTACAATATGATTTACCGACTGCAAAAACGATATACTACTAATAAAATGAACGAAGCAACAACACTTAGACCTATGTGTACATAATTTAATTTGTCGGACGATTGTGACAAAAATTCACGTTGTAATCGAATTCAGAATTAAATTTGGTCATCAGAATTCTCCATAACTATAGTATAGACAAATTGATGTACTCCATAACTCGTATGTTTTTGTTAAAATTTTGTCGTACAACCACACAAGTCCGGTACTAGTATATATTGATTAATAAGGCTTAGCGATTCCGTGGATAAGATTAAGGATAACACATTTTCTAATGACGTTCTCAATCCTTCATTCACAAAATAATGTGAACGCTACAGATGACACGTTATATGAGAGTTGTATCATGCTTTCGAATTTGGAAATTGGTAATCGGAAATCGATATGTCTCACTTATTTAGTTATTTTACATTCTAAAAAATCCAAGGAGTCCATATCAATCACACCCAATTTTTCTTTTCTTTTGTGAAGTCGAAACCAAATTTAATACAACTCAACTATACCGACAATGAAGTATTTCCTATCATTATTAGATTTGGACCATAGTCTACAGCTATTTAAACAAGTCTTGCATAAATCCATAAATGATCAAATCTCTTTGGTCAATAAATCTGCACTATATACGTAAAGTAATTCTCTAACTTATATGATTTCAGAAGAAAAAAAAATATTTTCTCAATAATATTCAATTATTCATCAACTAGACAACTGGTAGCAGATGTACAAACTCAAGAATCGATCAATTACTCCATAACTTACAAGACAAGAAAGAGAAACAATCTTTGTTCTTCAATAAGAATGTCACACTCCACAATCCACATATTCATACACAAACTCGATCCAAATTGCTAATAAATTTAATGTTTGGTTCATTCAAACCCAAATCCACGTGTCTTCCACGTCTTCGCCGTATTCCAGGTATGGCTTCGAATCGATAGCTGTCGCAGTCCTGAGCACAACATGCTGCGTGTAGAGACCACTCAAAAGTGACTGAATGAAATAATAAACATCAAAAGAAACCAAACTCAACATTCAACTGTCTTTAGTTAATTTTTGTACCTTAATCTGTGTCCTGTTATAAGTATAGGTGACGTGGACATTCCCGTCTCCGGCTTGTATAACCGCCGGGTACGAGAACTCCATTCCCGGAAACTCCTCCAACGTCAAAACATCGGTCCAAGAATCACCGTCGTCTAAAGAAACTCCTACTTTGAGCACACCTCTCGAGTCTGTGTTGTAAGCAAGCACTAGCCTACCATCCTCAAGCTTGACTCCATCAATACCTGAATTCGGGTTTGGGAGAACCGTTGGTGTTGCAAAACTCCAGTTCTCACCGCCATCAGAAGATTCTGAGATGCAGACTCTGTCAATGCCGGTGAACGATCTGAGTAAAACCCTTAATTTCCCAGCTGCGGTTTGGTATGGAACCGGTTGGATCACGCTAAGGCTCTTCCCTTGAATGTATATGGGTCCTTTCTTCTTCCATGACCTCCCTGCGTCTGAAGTGACCTGTACACACACATTTCAGCGTAAAACCGATGATCCACAAAGGAAACTAATCAAATACTTTGAACAAACCTCCATCCACGCTCCCCAAGAATTCCAACTTTCAACGGATGATCCACAAAGGAGTCTTCCGTCTTCCAGCAGAATAGGCTGTAGAAAAACAAAGAAAGAAGCTGACTTTCTAACTCTTAAGCAATACATTAAAGGTTTAACCTTTATCGAGTAATCGAGTCTGCGCAATGCAACAATAACCTTGTTTTTAATGGGTCCGAGAATACCAGGAGGAAGCTGTTCTCTGTGAGTCCATGTCCTACCTTTATCATACGACCGTTTCATGCAACCGCTCCATCTGAGCTTTCCAACAAAACAAGATCAATCAAAAAGGAATGAAAACAAGCAAAAGATGAGAGCCAGAGAAATCTTGTTCAATACTTTTGAACCTCCTGGCCGATTTTGTAGAACAATAAGAGCTCTTGAGATGGAAGCTTGAACAAGACAGGGTTATACATTGGCACACCTGGCTGTTCATCTACAACAACCGGTGATTGCCATTGACCATCCTGAGAACCAATTAATAATTGTCACGCATAACTATGAATGATCTCGAGACTCCCAAATGATTGAGAGAAGTTTATCTACTACTCTACCTTGAAATGCTGCAACCAGATTTTGACATCAGGTGCTCCTTCATACGAGCCTCCGAAATATGCAGCCAAGAAGTGATCTTTCACAACCTTTTTCACAAAAAAAATATGCAGTTAGGGCCAAATCCATCACTAGGACTACTACTACTAAAGGGGGAAAAAGCAAGAAGACTTGTGGTGTGGTCTTATTAACCTCAACGATAGTAGAGGCATGGCAACTTTTGAATGGAACTGAATCAGCAGGGAATGTGAAAGTCTCTAGCACCACTTTGAAATCTGTTTCTGACATCTGGAACTCACCATTGTCCCACATTTCAGAATATTTTTGTAGAACAGAGTTCAATCAGCAGATGATTAGGCCAAGAATCAACTCTTCTTACTTCAGATCGATTAATAAGAAAACAGTGATAAAGTATTCAACAAATCTTTGGTCTAATTTCCTCAAATCTGATTCCCAGAAAAATGTCAACGGTAATCCAAGTTACTAGTTTCCGAGGAGACCGAGAGAGACTACAGGTTAACAAAAACTCTTAAGAACCTAACCTTTTGATTAAATCGAACAAAATGTCCAAAGGAAAAACAAACAATGGAGACATGAGAAGCTTACCTGAAAAGCTTCAAACTTTCAGTTTCAGTTGAGTTGAAGTGTCTTCTTCGGTGGTGTAACCAGTGGCAGATCCGCCATTGACATTCCTCGCAATTGCAAATTTTAGAAATGGGCCTTTATATAAGCCCAATAGCATCGGTTTTTTTTCCCATAACAATGGGCCCATATAACATTATTGAAAATAGCTTAAAGAATAAAATGTTAAAATAATAAAATAATTAAATTTATTGAAATAGTTTTAAAAAACATAATTTTGAATAATTTTATTTTCAAACCAATATTTACTAATTGAATAAAGTATATACTAATTATTATTTTACAATATTAATAGGATCATATATTTTTCTATAACTTTTATCATCTTTTTATTGTTGTTTTCTAAAATGTACATAACTTATGTTACCATCTCATCTTATCTCTTATCATATTTTAAATAAAAATAATGGCATATGTATATATATATATTTATTTATTTTCATTGTATATGGAAAATTTGAGATAGTAAATGAAATAAAAAATAACCGAACGAAAAAATAAATTATAATAAGATGAAACAATATGAATCATAAATAAAAAAATAAAAGTATATAAAAATAAATATCTCGCACTTTGTTTTACAAAGTCACTTAAAAACTTTTTAAGACGTAAGAGCCATATTTTATTTTTTTACAAATACGCGTACATACATATATATTAATTGTACATTAGTTGAAGTCACATGCGAACTTTTCTGTGCATGTATTTTGTTAAGATTGATTACAGTCTAATTTTTATTTTAATTATTATACAATTTATATTTTTAATTTTTTTTATCTATTCTAAGTGTAGTGAAGTGGTTGGTATACTCGCACATGCGTGCCAATTATCTATCCGCTCTTAGGAATAAGTAAAAATGGTAAAACTATTTCAGTTTAATTTGTAATAAATCAAGAAAAATATATACTTAAATATATTATATGTATTTGCAAATTCATATTATGTAAGACGCAAAAAGCATATCGTAGATTGTGTAAAGAGAAATAAAGCATATTATAGAAATATTTAAAAAAATATTATAAGAATTTTTAATTATTATTTAACATAACTTTTATATTTATGATTATATATTATTACAAGCATTATAAATATAAAAAGTTTTGAAATACATTGATTTCAGAAAGAAGTTTGTGAAATATTAAAATAATATATATACAAACATACCAATATTTAAAAAAACTAATCAAAATTTAAATATTACAATTAACTATATATATCAAAAAAATTATACCCGCACATATGTGCGGGCCAACCACCTAGTGCCATTTAAACGCTGAACTTTTGAATTTCAGCCATTCTAATCATTATTTTTCGTGTGATTTATTTAAATTATAAACTTTTCTTTGACCGGTGTTAAAATCACAAACTTATGTTGATTCGGTCATTTTAGGCATGACATTAATATCACTAACAGATTGACTAAACGCCGTTTGGTCAACGTCTGTTAGTGAATTCAATATCATACATAATATGGCTAGTCAACATAGGTTTGTTATTTAAAATATTATCGATATACAAATTTGTTATTTAAACTGTCACACAAAACTTAGTGTTTATAATGACCGAAATTAAAAAGTTTAGCATTTAAATGATATTTTTTAACTAAACAGTAATTTTTATTTCTAATTAAAAAAAACATCTCAAACTTAAGATTATACAATGTGAAAGATTAAGAATCTTAAGAAGTTTGTAATTAGCAATAAAACTGATGAAAAAACAGCTTAACTTAACATATCGAGGTTCTTTGAGATAACACATGATTCATCTAACAATGTGATTTTCTAAATAAAACCCAAATAAAAATGGTAAGATTACTACAGTTTTCTTCCACAACTTGAAACTCGAATCTTTCAGTAAAATTGTGATCATGAACGATAAATGATCACTGTTTTATAAATTTTCTATTTATTAAACGTAAACCAAATTGATTTCTTATTATGATAGTGCTAACAAGGTAGAACAAGTTCTTTTTGTGTTTGACATCTTTGGAAAAGAAAAAGAAAAAATTATAAAACGTACACACTATACAAAGTAAATTTCTTTTTATAGTTCTATTATATAAATAATTAAACATGAAAATTATCGTAATAATGGAGACATTAGTCGCATGCAATTAGTCGATAGTCTTTCCTAATTTATGGATTGCACTCAATTAATCATTTATTTATCACAATCTTTAGTAAGATTTGCATTCTTAGAAAGTCCTTAGATGTGGTTAAATTGATATTTTTTTTAAGTTAAACTCAATCTTTTCATTTTTTGTTGTTTTGGTGTAATATAAATTTAATTTACATTTAAATATATTTTTAATTAGTTTAGATTTACTTGGTTTTGTAATTATGTAAACTGATGAAATTGAAGTTCAGTTAGTAGAAAGAAAAAAAAGTGCCATTTAAATGTCAAACTTTTAAATTTTAGCCATTATAAATATTAAGTTTTGCATGGACAATTTAAATCACAAACTTTTATATCAATTATCTTTAAATCACAAATTTATGTTGATTAGCCATATTAGACATGACATTGAATTCACTAACAGATGTTGACCAAACTGCGTTTAGTCAATCAGTTAATGATGTTAACGTCGTGCCTAAAATGACCGAGTCAACATAAATTTGTGATTTTAACATCGATCAATGAAAAATTTATGATTTAAATGGATCACGCAAAAAATAATGCTTAAAATGGCTGATTTTGAAAGTTCAGCATTTAAATAACCTTAAAGCAAGATGATCGTGTATACTCACAGAAATAACCTTAAAGCAAGATGATCGTGTATACTCACAGAAAATTCTTTTATTCTTCATATACATATTCGATCAGCCTTTGCAATAACAATTCCTAGCTCACTTATTTTAGTATATATACTAGATTTTGGACTCGCGCAATTTTTATAAATATTTTTGGATCAAGCAAAAATTGGTTTATAGTAAATTTTTGTTCAAAAGAAAAATTAGCTTATATTATTAAATCTAAAATTATGGCTCAAACGAAATTTTTTTATTAGATTATATAAACTATTTTAATATTATGGTTTTGTGAAATTATTTAGGCTTGATTTTATAAAAAAAATATTTTGATTAGCGGGTTTTTTGTTAAACTTTATAACAAATATTTTAAAATATTATGTTTTATAATACAAGAGAAATTTTATTTGTTTGTAATTAAGATTCTTAGGCTTTGTTTCTTTTTGCTTCCATATACTTATTTGGATGCAAATGTTCTCAAATATTGTTCTTTTAAATATTTTTAAATCAGTATATGAATATTTTATCTGAATACAAATTCTATAATATCTCAAAGTTTAGATATTAAAATGCTAAAAAAATAGAGATTTGATGCAGCATTTGAATCTTAAAAATTAACAGATAAAAATAATATTTAATTTAAATCACAAAATCAAGTTTTTTTTTATCAAAACCATTTTTTTTATTGAAATAAAAAATCGCATTTTTCCGCAACATCGTAAAATCACGTTTTTGTACCAAATTTTCTTGTCAAAACTGTAACCCCACATTTTTTAACAAAACCAAAAATTATGCTTTCCCCCAACATCATAAAATCGTATTCCATAGCTAAATTTCTAAAATTAAGTAGTTTTTGTCAAACTTGCAAAATTGCATTTTGTCGTCAGACCCGCAAACCTGCATTTTCAATAAAATTCATAAAACCACATTTTCCACCAAAACCTAAAAAATCCGCAAAAACATGTAAACCTCGTAAAATCCGCAAAATCACATTTCCCGCCAAATCCACAAAACCCGTGTTTTTCCATAATTTTATAAAATCCATAAAATTGTGTGTTTACGGCCAAATTTTTAAACTAATGTGTTTCTGCCAAACTCACAAACTCGCATTTTCTCGCTAAAACCTATAAAACCCATAGAATTCGCAAAATTGCGTTATTCACATTTCGCAAACCTGTATTTTCCCGTAAATTTGTAAAATCATGATTTACGACCAAATTTCAAAAATTATGTGTTTCTGCTAAATCTACAAAAGCACATTTGTTGTCAAACCGGTATTTTCTCGAAAAACTATATTTTCCGCTAAAAATTTATAAACCCGTTTTATAAAACCCGTAAAATCTACAAAATTGTGTTTGTCAAATCTGCAAACCCATTATTTCTCGCAAAAAAAATCTTTAACAAACCAGAAAAACTAAGTAGGGGTTATTGGTTCTTGTATTTTGGTAGATTTATAAATTTTCTTTGTATTTGATAAATTTATTGATTTCAAAATCAGCAAAATAGAAAAAAATCAAATCCACTCAAATACCAAAGTTAGACCTTGTATTTAGGGAGGTGTTATTGGTTCTTGTATTTTAATGGATTCGAGAATCCAAACCAAATTCAGTGTTATTGGTTCTTGTATTTTAAAATTTATATTGAAATACAGTGTTATTGGTTCTATGATTTTAAAATCCATAATGAAATACAGTGTTATTAGTTCTATCATTTTAGAATCTAAATATTATAAGGATTTGAGTTTTAATTGAATTTGAATGGATTTGGAAGAATTTTTATGACTAAAATACAAAGACCCAAATACAAGGTCTAACCTTGGTATTTGAGTAGATTTGATTTTTTTATATTTTGTGGATTTTGAAATCAATAAATTTATCAAATCCAAAGAAGATTTATAAATCCACCAAAATACAAGAACCGATAACCTCTACTAGGTCTTTGTATTTTAGTCATGAAAATCCTTCCAAATCCATTCAAATTCAATTAAAACTCAAATTCTTATAGTATTTAGATTTTAAAATGATAGAACCAATAACACTGTATTTCATTATGAATTTTAAAACCATAGAACCAATAACACAGTATTTCAATATAGATTTTAAAACACAAGAACCAATAACACTGAATTTGGTTTGAATTCTCAAATCCATTAAAATACAAGAACCAATAACACCTCCTAAATTATTTACATAATTTTTTTTTCATAGTACGTATATATGTAACAAAAATATAATGATTATATATTCATCACTGACTATAAATTATCACATTTTTGTAAATATCATAATAATTTTTAAAATTTT